TTATGAACTCTTTCCACTGAGTGGTGTTTGAGTGAAATGTTGAAGTGCCTTGTAACCGTCGATGGAAACGTTCTAACAATCCATTAGTTCAAAAGATACGCGTTTTGCAACGAATATTTTTGGTCACAGGGAAGCTCCTCTGTCAATTTTTACAGCGATAGGTTTACCAAAAGTGGTCGTTCAGTTCTGAATAAACGCTTAGGCCACTGTTTCAACTGTAATATCATTTATTGGTGCGGCTACTGCAAGCCTCATGATCGTTTTTATGCGTGTAAATAAGTAATTTAGACGATTGTTAAGCAGAATGTGATATAGTGACGTCTACTGGTAACCACACGCTCCTTGAAGCTGAACAGTAAAGGTCAACGCGGGAACACCAAACGTGGACGGCTTGACTGGATCAGACAAGGATGGCCATTACATGTTGTCTCCTGTTTTTTACACTGAATATATTATTCTACTGCTATATCAACTGGATTCTGTAATGGTTATCTAACATGCGCACTACTGACTACCACGATAAGCACGTCAGTGCGAAAATGATGTGATTTCTACGTAATATATATACCATAAGAGCTACACCATTTCAAGTTCATAACATTTTATGAGTTCTATTATTCCAGTGACACAGCATGTCTGCATGAATGTAGACTATGATGGCATTTGACTGCGAGTAAACTCTGATGAGTCAAGGCACATATCGGTTAACCTTATACTATTGACAAGTCAAGACTCCCTAACTCATACGCGTACATTACTCTGCAAATCTGGTTATACGTTTCTACCATCTATTAGTTTGGAGGTGAATTTTGCTCCAGGATGAAACAAAGTATGGAGATTACCAATTATTAATCTTCTTACACTTTTGAAGACGAAAAGTCAAGGCGTCGTTTCGTTCTCATAACAAAAAATCAACATAATAGCAGTGTAGCAATCAGCCAATCAGAACCTCTACCTGTGACTTTTCATTTTCGCTACATTTCTAACAAAACTTCTAATCAAACGCTGATTTGATAAAATGTTTCTTAATGTTTCCTGAGCTTGACATGTCTATTGAGGGAAATTTTCAGGGTCATCTGAACGATAATTCAAGGTGAAATCGCGGATTTATTTGGGAACAGAAGGGGGCAGAGCATTAAACTAGATGTCGAATTCTCTCAGATATAATTTTCGGTTTCGTGAAGCATAGCTGTAGTTGAACAAACCAGAACTCAGGGTCACTACGATCGAACTCTGAAAGTTTCTACCTCAAAAAGTGACGGGTTATGTCTGTTTTCCTGATTTTCGCTCAGTAATGATTCTAACTGTTAACTGTATATCAAGGTTATCATTACGTCATATGCAAGGAAAAAACTACTGCATGCACTAGTCAAACGGTTATCATTGGTTCGTCATAATTAGTCATCACTGTTTTGACAGCATTACCAAGCAGCTCGGTGTCTACTGGTCAACCCCATGACATAGCAATAGTTGAGCTTGATGGATGATCTGGCCCATATTAGTTACTTTGAATGGGTTTGTTTGGATGCCGTTCATAGTCCCAAAGGCTTCAGAATTTGAAAGACATATCAGCGAATTCATAAGCTTTGCATACGGTAAGAATCACACACCAGAATGAGGAGTCTTCTCACTGCGACAATCTCTTACCAGAGTTGACGATTGTTTGAGTCAGCACGGTGGGACCGAATCTTAACAAGGTTAGATAACAAGCTGAATGTTCTCTACCTTTTACTACAGATTACTGAACGCTTGACAGCCTACAAAGCGTTGTCGCGGCTAGGGATGAAAAACGCCGATTGATCAATCGCACGACATGCACCGGTCTATTAGGCAATAACTGAGATTTAATTTTCTCTGGTCTAAACAATACATTTGTTCACTAGCCTCAAATTCGTTATAAGCAGTCGTCAGAGTAGTCACAGTACATGAATTTATAAAGAAATGATACTCGTTAGATAATAACTGTAAGGTGTGACTTTGATGTAAGCTAGGAGGTCTCTTTATTCTCCTTCAAATCTAATGTACCTTGCCCATGCAGGTAGACCACCTACATTGGCGATCGACAGTTTCAAAAATACCAGAAGTAATCGTCTATGGGGGGTCACGACGAGATTAATTATAATCATCTAGGTATTGATAAGCTAGAAGATGAATAGGAAGGAGGCGGAAGTAAATGATTGTAGAATAATAACATGTATGCTGGGTGATAATCAATGACAATAATAAAGAATAACAAAGTGTGAACGATTTTTTGATGATTTGAGCTGACATATTGCTGTTCTTCATACAAACAGCAGGCGTTTCACAATGAGAGTGATGGCGTTATTAATTGGTGTTTACACCGTTATCGGTTCAAAGAAGAAAGCCGGTTAATGTCCATGACAGTGATCCGTGCATAAGTGTTGATTTTCAGCTAAAATAACATTCAGAAGGCCGATTGAGAAATTAGGACCATGCTATGGGCCGGCACTAAGTGCATTCATCTAGAATGATAGACCTTATCCCACAATTTTAGATTTGCCATGATGTGATCAGCTAATCTATGAGATCTTGCATGGAAGTCACGTCACTGTTCATACTGACCCGTCCTACGTGTCAGTCAGCCTTATTATGTTCAGGACTTCTGAAGAACATATTTGAGTTGAGGACACAACAATTCATTTGATATGGAAAGGAAGAAGTTACATGCAGTGACCACGCCTGCACGGAAGTGCCATGCTATCCAGATTCTGTCCTCCAGTGTTCTCCACATTACGTCATCTTCTGTAGATGCCGTACGTTGAGTTTAGATCCCACAAACTATCGTTTGTTAAGATTCAAGGATAGTGTGGTTGATAACCAATACCGCTAAAACAGTATCAAAGTACAACCGTGAAGGATATAACAGTGATTTTTTTGTACGAAGATACTGATCACTTAGCTTTAAGAGGTTCAAAACTTGATGACCATAAGTTCCTGCAATCAATACCACTGATTGTTGATCGAGACGTGGATGTTTGTAGAGTTAATTTTAGTTATTTGACATCTGTTCTTGAGGAAGGATTCAGTCGACTGCCACAGAGGGTTAGTTATTCCGATGAACTGAAGTCTTTTGATCAAGAGGTATTGAGTTGCCTATTCGAAAGCTTTCTTGATTTCAAAACACAGTATAATCACTAGTTGCTTTTGGCCACATATGCTAGTAACCTCGATGGGGAAATCTATCAGACATGCAGCGTAGGTCTTTGTTCTGATGAAGTTTTGTTGAGACGGGTTAATTACGCCTTCTCCAAGAAGGCGATCGGTTGAACAATTTTTTATCCCTTTCTACGTTATTCATGAGATGAATTGGGCGATATTTATTGGTTTTTAATCCTGGATCAGGTTGTTCTGTCCTGGTTTGTGCTTGGAGACATGTGTTGCCTTCCAGGTTCTGGAGTGTGCACCTGTCTCGAAGACTAGTGTAAATATTTTAAATAATAGTGTTGGAATCTCGGGTCCCATCATTTTGTAGATGGTCAATGAAACGTCACCTGCAACATAAATGAGGTTGTGGATAAGGATTTTGATAGCGATGAGGATATTTCTAAGATCGTGGTTAGTGTTATGGATATTATCATTGTTGATGCAGGTGATATTAATACCTGGGGCATGAAGTCCATTCGTATTGTGTGAATGAGGTAAGCTCAAATAATTCTTATACACTTCTCAAGTGAACGACAGGGGTTTTGAGACTTGGCTGTGGTAGTTGGCGCAGTACGTTTCCCTACTTGTTCATGTCTTTCATGCTGACTTTTCACGAACCCTGTGGAACGAGAAGATGGGTAGAATGATTCAATATTTGTTGTGAGAAATGACAAGGTATTATAGAATAGTTATACATAGGCTTCGATCGTTCATTCGGATCTCATGGTGTGTTTTGCATTTTGGACTATCTTCTTGTCCGGTATGCAAGTGTTCTGTCTACTCCGTGCTTTCGAATCGCTGAAAAACTTCTTTCCTTCCGATGACCGTGATGTTTTAAGATACGTTGGGCAACATACTGCCTTCGGGCGATTTTGTGATTGGAGATCACCACACTACGAGTACAAATTATATATGGTGCAGGACGTGAAAGTCTTTGGATATACTATACACTTTGTGGTAGAATATCACGTCGAGAATATTGCACCTAAGTTTAGAAAGGGGCACATGTTGCTTTTGGCCATGTATTTCTGATGATCTATCTATGTGTTCTAAACAGTGGATTAAAGTTTTTCTACCAGTTGATTCTTGAGAGGTTGTGACCACTGCAAATGATTTCGAAGGTGAAATCTAGGAAGACATTCCAAGCAGGTGACTCATATCGGTTTCAGTGGAATTGAGAGTGTTTAGAAATTGATATATACATCAAATTGGCATTTTTTTGCATTTTTAAGCTTGTACAATAAACCATATCGAATCATGTCCTTTGTTGAGAACAGCATCGATGTAGCTTTACGACCTAATATTTTGAGATGAATATATAAGATATCCATCGCATTTCTCAGATCCCCAGTCACAGAGAAATAGTTCATAGGTGACATTTTTGTGACATTTTTTTGCTCTACACGCAGCTAACAGGAACGCTCGGCCTAGGTTGGCTAACAGTTAATGGGGATGCGTTGCACGACGTACCCACTTGTGATCTGGCTGATGCGTGATCGAGAAGCATCAGCTAGGGTGTGTTCAGTAGAACTAATGAAATCGGCATCGATTTCAAAGGCTTAAAGAACTATTTATTTCGAGGATTTATTTACTGCTATATACCCTTCTTTTAGATGCCACGGCCAATGAAGCAGAAAAGGGAACAATCCAAGTATTATTTTCACCGTAGTATGGCAACAGAAGTGGAGGTTGATTAACAACTAGTGTCTAGCACAACGTTTTAGAATAAACATCAGATGATGAACTCATGAGTGATTACATATACGTCACACAGGAAAGAACGATATGGTATCCACTTGTGATTACGAAATTTATTACCTTTACTTGTCTCTACAAATAGCGCAAAAAATAAAGATTGTCCGAATACGTTCATAAGTATTACTTAGAGTTGTATTAGTGTCAGTAGGATCGTTTGTTTTTCTTTCCTACTTTTTGATACACTATGTACTGTCGCGGATTTTGTCTTCATTACGGTACTAAAAATCATTATATGGGTCCTTAATGATGTGAGTTTGTTTTTCATATTGCAGGGCAACAAATAGTAAATGCACTAGAAGAAGAGGAACAAGCTCTACGCGATCTGAATCTGCAGAACAGCAAATAAAACTATTTTGTAATAAGTTTCCCTTTTTGTACTCGGACCGCGTTTTCAATTTCAAAAATATATCTGTTGTGCCGGTACACGGTGTTCTTACTTCAGAGGCACTTACCGGTCCCGACTGTTGTGTTGTTGTTTCAGATCGCTCCAGCTATCAAGTGGACGTCAATATATAACGTGCTACATGTGTGTAACGGGTTGTAAACCTCACAATATCAGTTTCTAATCTCAATTTCCAGACTAGCATACTCTAAGCCTTGTGTTGTTTCTGATTGTTGTTTATTTATTTCGCCATCTGTGTGCTTGCTGAGTCATCGTCTCACTTTCTCTCCTTTCCTTTTCTGTTCCAGGTTGTCCTGTACTGTTCTTCCCACTGTATCTTCAGGCCAGACATAAACCTACCCGGAAGCTAAACGGTACCCTTCATGGGTATCAAGGGTCTCCTTCCATTCTTAAAAAATGCATCAGCTCCAATTAACCTGGCTGACTTTAGTGGCTATGTTGCTGCTGTGGATGTTTACTGTTGGATCCATAGGTCTTCATATGCATGCGCTTCTGATCTAGCACTTGGGATCCCGACTGACCAGTAAGTATTATGTTTAGCTATGATACCGTTTTAGGTACGTCCGGTATGTTATTAAGTACATCAACCTCATGAAGTCATGTAATGTTAAACCAATCCTTGTCTTTGACGGCTCAGATTTGCCATCCAAGGCTGAAACGGATTTAAAACGTCGAGAGTAACACCGTTTATTATGCTTAATGTTTTAGGACCAAGGAGTTAAATCGAAAAAAAGCTGCAGAATATCTAATGAAGGGAGATAAAGCAGCTGCACAGGAGTGTTTCGAAAGGTCCGTGTTTGTCACTTCTGAAATGGCGTACGAGGTTCTTCGAGTGAGTATTCTTAGTGTTCCTTTTGTGCAATCTAAATCATTTAACTGCACACCTGGTTACTATGGGCACACTTCTATTCTGTATGAAATTCGAAGACAAGTTAGGAAGCGGGTTCATGTTGTTTGTAGTTGGATTGTTGAATGGAAAAGATTATTGTTACGACTTACTGATTTGTGTACAGCTATTTTCAATCATTTCATATAAAACAGGTAATTGAACTCTTACTATTTATACGTACTTTAAAAGAAAAACTTGTGGCTAACAGTAAAGTTTTCTAACTCTAAAGATACTTAAGACTAAGAATCATAGTTTCGTGCTTAAAGTGTTTCAGTTTTTAACAATAAGTCTTGTAGGTTGGTTAAAGTAGGTTAATCCTTAAAATTTTCAGTCAAGGTACAGTTTCTTAAAATTGTTCATCGATGTTTCGGATATTACCTACTCGTGTAGGAGGTTTCAGTCGTCACCTGCTCAGAGACTTGTTCGATTGGGCTTTTCAAACATATTTTGTGCTGAACTGTGTGTTGATTATTTCCAGGTGGAACTATAAAAAAAAGACCTGTCAGCGCCCAGATCATTATTTAGATAATGATACAAGATTTCTACATGCTCTCAGTTAATCACTCATGTCCAGCGTCCGAAGTGGCACACAAGTGTGTTAGTTAAAGTTCTCATATCACATCAGGAGAGCGAGGTAAGATTATTCCAGATAAATGGCAGTGGTAAAAGGAGTAACGGTATTAGTGGTAATAGAAAAGAGTAGGTTTAGAAGAGGAAACGAGTATGAAGAGATTTTGAGAGGGCTCTAAAGTAGCTGAAATTGGATGTACATCAGGTATAGCAAACAATTCCAAGTCGTGCTACTCAAAGTCTACTCATTAGCCCCCAAATGCCCTGGTACGGCCGAGAGTGAGGAGAGTCCGCTCTTCCTCTCGAGATGGTTAGGCCACATGTTACGTATGCCTAAACACCGATTACCACGACGCGCTATGCTGACTAGTGTAGGGGATGGTTGGAAGAGAGTTAGGGGCGGCCAAACCAAAACATGGCATCAGTGCTTGAAGTCACTAACTTCTAGTCTGAGCCATGTTGGCAGATGCAGACTACCTGGTTGGGGTCCGCGTGACTATCGTAACCAATTGTTGGAGACTCTAGGTGACATGGCTCAGAATCGATCACAATGGCGTAGGTGTATACACTTTATCTTCCATTAAACCTTAGGATTAAAATTGCTTCATAACGTTCTTCCTTCCTATACTATATCCTTATATACAACCTATCTTTTATATACTACCACCACTAAATTAATTACTTCTATGAATCCGGTATTCATCTTGTGCTAACGAGATATGGCAACTTGGACCGATGCATATGTGTGCCTGGTCCTACGTTGTAGCTGACTGACTGACTCCTCTCGAAATGCTCTCACATGGCCACGCGTATATAGCCTCTGCCAGGGAAGACCTACTCACTGCCTTCTCGCACCAGGGGTGTTGTTTACGAAATTGAGAGGACGAAAAGTGAATGCCCGACACTATAACCGGGTTGACGGATATAAAGTATCTACCTGGGGGAGTTGGAAAACTGTTATTCCAAACCAATGGTGTACATGGGCTTCAGAATCCTGTGGGAACAAATGGAGTATAAACACATAGTTGATCACAGGCTATCACAGGACTGTATCTCCTGACGTTGCTCCACTGCCTTGTGGATTAGACAAATAGATCAAAGGCTCAGGAAGTCGCCTCCTAAGAAAACCGCCTGTTTCGGTGTGGGCGCACGGGAAGTATTCAAGTCGTCACATAAATCGAATGAAGGCACATGTGTATTCGGTGCCTCCTTGTACCAATATGTGTTTAAATAAATAATAGATACTTTATATCCGTCAACCCGGTTATAGTGTCGGGCATTCACTTTTCGTCCTCTCAATTTCGTAAACAACACCCCTGGTGCGAGAAGGCAGTGAGTAGGTCTTCCCTGGCAGAGGCTATATACGCGTGGCCATGTGAGAGCATTTCGAGTGGAAGAGCGCTCAAAAGTGTCAGGACATTTAATAAGAAATGAAATTACTTCTTGGATTCAGTATTCTAGGTGGAGTATAAAGTCTAGAATATATCTTCATTAAAGCATTTCAAAACAACTAGGTGACCATTCGACACGGGACATTTTCAGCTGCTGTATTAGTGTCCAGCGATTTCCAATCCTAGACCTACAATTGTTAGGTGTTTTGTTATTGCACTTATAGGCATGATGTTTCATTGGTGACGTAGTGGTGATTATTACCGTGACTAACACATATCAACACACTTTCTGGAAATAATCTCCAAACTCAAACTTTGGAACCATCTGACCAACTCATCTAAGTCAAGTTGTAGCCAATTCTTATCAAGACCGGTACTTGTTATTCAAAGTGTTACATCTTCAATTAAGAATACCGACCATGTTGTCTTGGTATTCTGTTGGTATTAATTATAAATTACGAAAGGAGGGGTTGGTCACTTTTCACAGAACCCCACCTAGATAGCGTCCCATTACCTGGAAACTGAATTTTCCAAGTCTTTTACTCCATAAGAGTTGGTTCATAAAAAAACTGTAAGGTTATATTCGATAAACGACCAAATCCAATAAATTTACCTGACAGTTAAGATACGATTGTGCCAGCGAAATGTGAATATCAACTGTGGTAATTAAAAATTGTATGATCTCTTACACTATTGTGTAGTTTTGTAGTCATCACTTCAATGACGCGCAAAATTTTGTATTGAATTTCTCGGAGTACATCAACATTCTTCGTCTTCTTTTGTATTTAATATTTCGGTCTATAGTAAGTTGATCTAAGTCAAGATCGGTAGTTTTGTATCAGCTTTAGTTTTAGCGACCTATTTAATAGTACTTTCGAAAATTCAAGGTTTTAGATTTGAAGTTATCAACATTTCTTGCTAATTATGTTAGCATTCAGTAGTAATGCGTAATTTTTACCTTAATTATTGTACATTTATTTTACTAAAGGGTTGTTTTAGCCTCAGTTACCTATGTTTAGATTGTTAACTAACACTTTTTTGCACTGTGTTGACCCACCTGGTTATCCTCAAACGTAATTTTTAGTCATATATTTAATAGTCGTATTTGCATACATGATCATTCACTGGTTAGATCTGTGTTGGTTTTTTTCAACATATTATCTTATAAGGCTGCTCGTAACATGGGTGTTGATTGCGTTGTCGCACCATATGAAGCAGATGCTCAACTAGCGTATCTTAATCGAACGGGTTATGCCGACTTTGTCATCACTGAAGATTCTGATCTATTATTATTTGGATGTAGACAGGTAAGTGCTTTCAAATGCACACTTTATATTAAAAACTATTAATAAACCATCAGGTTATCAAGCGAACCCCCTCAGGTTCTTTAAACAATAAATTGAACGGATATTCGACAAAAACATACTTTGTATCTCATTATTTTAGCATTGCAATAACTCCCTAAATTGGAAAGTAACATTAGGTGTTTTTCAGCCCCCAAATGCCCTGGTACGGCCGAGAGTGGGAGAGTCTGCTCTCCCTCTCGAAATGCTCTCACATGGCCACGCGTATAAAGCTTCTGCCAGGGAAGTCCTACTTACTGCCTTCTCTCACCAGGGGTGTTGTTTACGAAATTGAGAGGACGAAAAGCGAATGTCCGGTGCTTTAACCGGGTAGGTGAATACGGCAAGTCCACCTAGGGGAGTTGGAAAACCCTGATTTCAAACCAATGGTGCACATGGGCTCCAGTGTGGTGGTCGATGTTCGATATTATCATTAAACTTCGTATATTGTTCGTTCTGGTAACTGTTACTCGATAACGCCCCAACGGTGTATAAATCAGAGGGCAAATACGAAAGGTTGATTGCGTTTATTATTGGACCACACACAGATATCCAAAAATTACAGGCACGTTAAGCAAGCATGAAGGAGTAGTGCCATCGAATAGGCGAGTGAGCGTAAGAGTCGGATGAGCGAGAGATTAATCGATCGAGCCAGCAAGTAAGCGAGTACAGTACAATGAACAGGATTAAGATGTACATATATATACATATACACTCTGATCCACCAAAGTGTTTGGTACCTGAGTGGTTGCGCCACAGTTAGTCAGTCAGTTACAATGTAGAACTTCGTACGTACGTACATCAGTTCGAGTTGCCATACCACATTAGCACGGAGGTGCAGTTGTCGATTCAAATCCCATAGTGGTAGGAGTAGTAAGAGTATAAGCAGTAAACCGAAAGATTAGGGTTTGAAGACGTTATTCAGGAGTGTAATACAGTGAAATAAATTTGGAAAGAGAAAAAAGATAGAGATACAAAGAATTCAGAAGATTAGAGTTTGGTAGTACACAATTAGTGGACGCACCTTCGCCATTTTGAGCCATGTCATTCAAGGTCTCTAACCATTGGTTGCTATCATCTCGCGGATTCCAACCGGGAAGTCTAAACCTACCAACATGGCTCAGTGCAATTGTCAGTGACTTCATGGATCTGTGCCACATTTTGGTCTTGCCGCCCCTAGCTTTCTTCCAACCTACTCCTACACCATAAAACATTGCACGTCGGGGCAGTCGGTGGTTGGGCATACGTAACACATGTCCCAGCCATCTCAGCTGATAAAGTTTCACTACTTCATCAATTGATTTGCCATCCTTACCTAGTACCCGTTTCCTAACAACTGCATTACTCACCCGGTGGTTTCAGGATATACGAACAATGCTTCGAAGACACCTTTGATCGAATACTTGTAGCCTGCGAATATCCTCTACTCTTATCGGCCACATGATTGGGCTGTACTGTTCTGATTGTAGCATTGAAGCCTATATAGTGTCTTGTTCTCCTGTAGGGCGAGATTGAGCTGTACTGCTTGGGTTAAGCCTGGGCAGTGTCTGGCTCTCCTGTTAAACGAGATTGAGCTGTACTGTTTGGGTTGCAGCGTGAAAGTCTGTATAGTGTCTGGTTCTCCTGAAAACCAGTGCAAGATTACCATGGCCCATAAGGGTATATTATATAACTGTGAACAATCGTTGGTCACCGGCTACCATGGGACCGCATCTCCTCATGATGCTCCACTGCCTTGTGGATCAGACCTTTAGGTCGAAGGCTCCGGGTGTGCCCCCCCCAGGAAAACCACCTGCTTCAGTTTGGGCACCTAAGTAGCATCACAGCCCTCGCACAAATCTAATTCGATTTGTGCGGCGCATATTTATCTGGTGCTTCCTTGTATCAATATTTATGTGTTTAAATAAAATAAAATAAACAGGGTTTCATGTCATTTTAAAAGCAAGCAGTCTGCTGAGTGCAGTTGTTACTAGAAGGAATAAAACTCTGCTTAATGATTGATAACTGAAGAGTTCTCTTTCTATCATCTTCCATTTTTAGGCTTATGACAAACTATCTGCAGTAAGGTGTGATTTCTCGGTGGTTCAAACATTATCATCTATTGTGTTGACTACGTCACTTGTCTGTTGTGTCACATCAAGCTTTGTAGACTATTGCTTGATAAAAGTTTGACATCCAAACGAGCCTTGTAAAACCGTGAATTAGATTACTCAAAAGGATAAGTTCCTTTTAGAAGTTCCATATATTCTGGTGGGGGGTATGAAACGCAATTGAGACGAAATACAATCGCATCTAATCTACCATAATTTTCCATAAAGGTTTCTTTCATTCGATAGAACCACCGGTGTTAAGAAAATTTTAAATAACTGATAAAAGATTAGTTGTTGAGGTTGTGGATTTGCTGGAACATATTTTTCTGAGGGTGATTGGAATGCTTATCACAATATCCTGTTTTTATCTGTAGTTCTTTTAATTCCATTTGAAATCTCTAATAAGTTTAATTTCTCCGCTGCTTATATTATTCCTAAATATTTTTTAAAGGTTGTATTCAAACTTGATTTATCGGGATCTGGGGTTCTTGTAGCAGCCGCATCGGGTATATGTGAATGTTGTGGAATTCCTGCTAGTCAATTTACTGAATCGAAATTTAGGTATATGGGTATTATGGCTGGCTGTGACTATTTTAGTGGAATTCCTGGCATAGGATTAAACACTGCTGCTAAAGTAAGTGGTTTCCTGAACGATTATATTTTATAAACTGAGAGGAACTTGGATCTGCTATGATGTTTACAAGTATCGAGTTATTTTTGTTAGTTTTCCATTCTTGTTAGCATCATTATAAACATTTGTGAATTCGCTGTTTTGTTAGCCCCCTTCTGACTGGCATTCATGTTGTCTAGTTAACTATAATGAATTTTATGTTTTTTATGAGTCGTATCGCCTATCTACCAGTGTCTAATCCTTCTCAAGATCAAAAAGTCTTTTTCCGAGGAACGTCTTTATCATTATGAATTCTTTTCAGAGCTGTTTTCAGGATATCATCAACGGAAAAGTTGAAGAACAACGGTATGATCGAGCAAAGTATTTGTATACCCTCGCTCTGCATAATTTTTTTGTACAAGTCTTCAATATTTTACAAAATTTCCAGGCACATCATCCAACAGACAATCCCATAGCACCATCAATAACGGCCGTGATTCAAAGAAACATAACAGTTGTTGGCTTCCAATAAGTGTGGGGGCAGTGTAAAGATGTGATCAATACATTCACAATGTAAACGAAAACCAGCCTGGTCATTGCGAGTGAGTCCCTCATCGGCTTTGAACAATGTTCAAAGTATAACCGAAGCCGATAGCTTAGATGCTATCGGGAGTAGACTTATCTCCCTATAGATTACATAGAAGCTTTTCCAAAAACAGGGATGATGATCGTCCCATTTCAAGATTCTGTAGTACTCTTTTTGCAAACCTTTTCAAACAACTCAGTCAGTTTCCCGCAAGAAGTTTGATGTCATTTTCAAAAAGAGCTGGTGGTAGGTTGTCTGAACCTAGTGGTTTGTTGCACTTCAGAAGTCGGAGTTCCAGACGAAGATTGGCTTTTTTAGGGGAATATTTAGTCACTTATAAGGAAGTACGGTAAGATTTAGTTGATATTGTCAGGAAAACAGAATATTTGGATTTTTCCTCGAAGAATTATGCCTCTCTCCGTAGATGCCTTTGAGTGTTATTGATTGGCGTTCCATCAATTGTTTCGATGGTGGCAGATTTCCTACCGTCAGTGGCTTGGATGAGCTGGAAAAGCGTCCAGTGGCAATCAGATACAGCTTCTGCTTACAACTCATTAGTATCCTTTGATCGTCAGGTTTCTTTGTCTTAATGAAAAATGTTTGTGACGTAATCCTAACTCATTATACAGGAGTTTAAGCTGAGCACTCAAATTTTCAGCTGTATCATTCGAGTTGTTTAAAAAAATATTTGTGACATTGATTAATCATACGCTTGTTGGGATTGCTTAATATATTATACTATATAAAACCAAGCACGTTTAAATTTGGGATCTTTCTAGAAGGGGTTTGTGTGGGCGTTATTTGAGTTCTATTTCTAAGGTTTTGTGTTCTCCGTTGTTGATGCTAATGTTTGTAATTAATAAGTCATTGCTGGCATATGTGCCTTCTGAGCAGATTGCTTCGATATTGTCATTTAGTCAAAAAAACTTTAACAAAGTTATGTAGTAGCTGGTAAAGGAATCTACGACGCGCGTTTCATTTTATTTGTTACTCATCAGCTGTATTTAGCTGCTACCTAGTGTTGATATTCTAACCGAGACTCGGACCCAGTATCTTTCGGGTCTAAAGGTATCGACCAATTGTTGTCTTTGACATTAAAAACGAAAAAATCCAAACTCTTGCAAATAAAATTAGTTTTACCATAAGCTTGGTTTCTACGATGATATATATTATTATTCAAAAATACAGTTTTAATTCCTAAAGCTTATCTCTGTAGCAAAAACTGGGATAATTGTGTTTCGTATCGTCAGTATTTATGTTTAGTCTCTTATTGGTTTAACATTGGGGATTGGTGGATTAGCTGATAGGGCGTTCGACTTTCGTCCATTTGGTCCCATATTCTGACCCCGTACAATCTACTTTGGGTTGGGGAACCAGGTAGTATCATCAGTCTTCACACTTAAAGTGTGGCTCATAACCAAGTATTAAGTGAATAAGTCAGTCAAGGTTTTGAAATGTTGGCTTCCTTCCATATATACACAATCAGTAGGGGAAATAAATTACTGTTATAAAACCACTTAGGTATTATTGCCCACAGCTAATTTGAAATTGGTATATTCCAGATAAAATGATCAAAAATACTTTTAGGAAATTCATCGGTACGTCTGTTAATCTATCTGTTTAGAATGTGGACAAATAATTAATACTTAACCATACGAAGTTTTGGACTTTTGGATTTTGTAGATATTACGTCAGACCCGCATTACAAATTTCAGAGAGCTGTTGTTGAAATTGGGGTTTTATACCAAACTTAGTAATAATGCTCTTGCGAAAGATGATACAGAAGTTGTGAATACTGAAAATACTCGTGGCAAACGACAAAACGTAAAAACTAATTATAATAAAAGTTCCCAAATAAGTGAATCACTTCTTAATGCAGCTGTACGTGCAGAGCGAACGTTTCGACTTCAAGTCATTTTTGATATTGCATCTAGGTGTCAGAAGCGGTTCAGTGAACCTACTCCTGAGGATATTGATGAGGAATTACATAATTTAGATGAGTTAAAAGGATCAGATGAGGACGAAGTTGACCTTTTTAGTTATGCAGGACGGTATGTTGAAGTAGTTTTATATTCATTTTTAGCGATTAATGATTTTTCAAATTTCTGAGTCATTTAATAGCTATCCATAAATTAACTTGTTCTCGTCTATGTGTTCCTATTTACTTATTAGGAACTTAAAAATTCAGTATATTCTATAAAGGTCCTACCCAAAGACAAGGAAGTACACTTTATAAGTTTGCATTGACTGATACTTTAGTGCAGAGATAAAGAATCAAATCTAAAATGTGCAACAAATTTGCTTATGACTTCAATTGTCTGAAAATTAGCATCTGTATAATACTTATAATAATGTAATATCTTGCTTATCATTTAAAAACTATCCTTCTCACCAGTGTTATTTAAGGTATTTCATTTTCTGCATAAATTATAGAATTACTCATTGAAAATGTCATGAAACGATTGCAACGTAAAATCTGTATTTGGTCATATAAGAGTAAAGAATCAGTATTTTGAAAATTAAATATCTATATTCAGATTGTGTCATAAGTATTTGCAACATTTAGTAAGGGTAATGTTCGGTATATATCATCATTCAGTAACAATTGTAGTTTTCTTCTATTTGGTAATATTGCTTCATAAACATATATCTACTTTATTCAGGAGATGCTCCTTTTCCCCTTTTACACTTGTCGTTTGTATGAATTTTGGACAAGTACGAAAAGATTAAAAAATAGTATTACTAACAATAGAAAGAAAAATAAAATCAGTGAATATGAGGTATTGAATAGCACGATATTCAAAACCTAGAAGTTATAGGATCAGTGTTGCTGCCACTGATTTGGAGCTTTATAGTTCAAGCTCCCTATCAGTCATTATGATTATTTTACTAACTCCAACCTAAAAGGATGCTACTTTGTTCAAGGCTCTAACTAACGGGCAATGAGTCTATGAGTCAACTTCATATGGTTTTCTGTTCATCTCTAGTTTTTTGACCAACACGTCGATTTGGTTGTAGCTAGGGGTTGAACACCGTAAATCCTCCTCACTTCCTTCAGTTGAAGTTCACCATCTAACCAACTAATTCCCAACCCTACACATGACATCAAAAGTGGTTCTGAAGGACCCGTGGTCGAGTACTAGCTGTTCGTACACATCATTTATTTCCACATGTAATATTCAAAAACCTACTGATATACGATTGTCAGTCAGATATTTCACGCTACAGCCAACTGAAGTAGGATGAAATTGTACATATTTTTGTGTGTTGAGACTTTACCCTCCACTAATTCAACAACATCATTAAAACCACCAAGGTAAATGAATTGGTACATTCGTTAACTACTGCATTTATTACCTTTAAAATAAATAATAAATCAAACCATTTACTGGTGTGAGACTTAAAATTATGATGGTTGTGATATTTAGTTTCGAAATAATCTGATTTTTCTGAACAAGTTTTACCGTGTCTAAGAATAAAATTTCTATTGGTTTTTCAGTTTGGGCCACAGTCATGGCTATTTACGAACTATCGAGCTTATTCTAATACGAATGCGTTCTAGGGCGGGATCGATAGAGTGGAAACTGACTTAACAAACAACGTTAATAATTCACACACTGAAATGAAGAGGGGACTTTCAGAATGATTTCGTATTCGTAACCAAATCAAATTGAAATAAAACAACTGTGTTTATATAGTAACAGTCAATGACTTTAAAACACGACAAAGCTAGCTAACTAAGCATAAAAACAGCCAATCAGATAGTATCAAACGTTATTACAAAAATTCGAATTAGGGAAATGTTATTGAGGCTCATTTTTTAGTAAACAACTAACATGAGATGGCAAAATATTAGATAACCTGAGTTCTCCTTGGCAAGTTCTCACGTTTAACTTACTGGTAAACTACTAACACTTTTTTATTCAAGGGTTTTAAAAGACAATGAGAAAGCATTCAACCGAGCTCTTGGAAATATCAGCTATTCTGATGATACCATTATAGATAATTACTATCCTTGTACATCAAAAGTAAGTCATTGTCTTATTTTACGTTACGAACATTTTTTCGTTATTTTTGCTAGTGTACCTTGATTTGAAGAAAACTGCATAAGTGAATAATTCGAGTAATTAAAAATTGTTGTGTTAGTGTAGTGAATTAAGTTTGTGGCAAAAATATATTGTAGCAAATCGGAGTCAGATCTCGGGCCACCATGAGGTCCAATATTGACTATCAAAGTGTTTACTAACTCTGTCAAACATTTTATGTATTTTGTTTACGACAAAATTACAAAGCACTATCCTATCTCATTTTGAGCACTCAAAATGTGTGTTAAACGTGTGACTCGAGAAATCTATTTAAATTTTACGAGTAAACCTTGCCCGTTACATAGTTCTTTCTACTCATACTATTTAAAACTTTTGTGCGAAAAAATCAATAAACAGTTTTTACTTGCTTGATATACTGGAGGAAACTCAATCATTAGTGTTTCAGAAACTGAATTCGCGTAACCCATTTAGTCTTGATAATTATTTATAAAAGTTAATTTATTTTCATGGTGTTTAGTATAAAGTATCTCCTTGCAGATGCTTGACCTAATCAAGTTTCTTAGGTCAGTTTAATGGCTTTTTTAATCCATTCTTAACCTTTGCTCTCATCATCCTTTTTTTGTTTGTGGGACACTTAATTTCTTATGTTTAGAATGATTCAATGCAAGCAAATGGAGCCATCATTGGACATTCAACTATTCAAACTAAAATGCAATCATCAGGACCACGACCTAATCCAGATCGTTTAAAAATAAGCATATGGGATAAAAGTTATCCTATTCAGAAATGTATGTAGTTTATTTTATTGAATTTACTTTCATTGTTGTGTACAGAAATAGAGTTGCTTTTCTAAAATTTAGTCACAATCTTGATCAAATCGACTAAAACGATGTTTGTCTTAAGTTGTTGTAGTGTAATTAAATTTGAAATCAAAGCATTTAGTAGGTTATATGAACAGTCTGTAAATCTTACCACATAACAACAGCATTTTAACATTGATATACAAATGTAAATTAAAGACATAAGTATCAAAAATATTCATAAGTTTTAGTGTAAAAGATACCACACTTATTTTACATACTTGATTAAGTACTAAGTTTTACTAATTACCTTAATCTTGTGTTGAATCATTATTATGGAGAAACTAGAACATTCATGTTGGCTTATAACATACTATTTCTTGATGTACTGCTATCTTAACTACTACTCACCTTGATGCTGAATATAAAAAAAGCTGGTGGATTTTCATTATATTGACTGATGTTCTACTTGTTTCATATAGTTACTTGTGTTCATACGTGAAATACGAATATATATATATATATATATATATATATATATATATATATATATATATATATATATATATATATATATATATATCATGAGCATGAATCTTAAATGATAAAATATCACAGCACCGTATTTCAAAGTGTGCCTTTTTCTGTAGGTTTTTTCCTTAGACTATATAAAAACTAAATTAAGACCAAACTCACGCTCCTACCCCATTTAATAAATCTAACAGCATAAAAGGCTGAATTTTTAACAATAACAGCTAGAAGATAAGTGTTACAATGAATCAAATCTTTAGTCAAATTAAAATGAAGAAAAATAAACCATGAGATGTAGAGTTAAGTCTTTCATGTACGTAATTATGTTTCAAATATCATAGGTTGTAAGCAGCTGACGAGAACTAAACGGGATAATATGAATTCATGCTAATATGCCAGAATTCTTGTTCTTGCTCTTTTCAAAATGATAATGGGAACTATGTATATGGAATGTAGAGTCAACAAGACAGTCTGTGTAGACGTGAACTTTTGTGAGGACTACCCACTCATTCCTACATAATTGAACAATTAGTCATTGTTCTTCAATAAACGAGAACACAGGTGGGGACAACCAACTGTATCTTGGTAAAATGTGTACTTCATTTGCAAATTTCCAACATTTGTCTTCCACATTCCGCATGATTCTTCCGATTCACAATTCCTTCTTAATTTCGTTTCTTTTTTCAAGTCAACCTTCGTAACTTTCTGGTGCCAGGTTTTGTACTTCCGATTGGTGTTACATACATACATGTCTGTTGACATAAGTAACTTAAACCACAGTCCTACATATCACTTAAATAATGTTAGTATTTTGAATAATTTAAGTCCATGGTACATTGATATTGTAAATATTCATACTATACTAATTTAGTCGTTTTGAAATTAGTTTTTATTCGTGTCGCGTTAACCTTTTTTTTGTACATTTGATGTAGTTTGGCTTCGTCGTTCTCAAAATGGTTGCATTGAACCCGTTTCAGATTTCTTGTCAATTGATTCAGACTTTTCTTCTTCTGAGAAAGAAAATAAAAACCCTGTTGAGAAATCAACTATAAGGAAATTGGAGTTGAAGAAGACACACTCAACTTGTGGACGTCGAATACTGGTTCCTGCAGCTATTCAACAAAGTTTTAAAAACCTAAAAAACAGTATATCTGTTCCGCAAATTGAACATCAGGATTCTCCTAAACGCCCATGTCCTGGACTCTATAACTCCACAATTGATGACACTTCCGGTTCGTTTTTTGTCCACTATATCAAAGTGTTCTCGTTGTTGTTAATTTAGTTTCATAGATATCTTTTCCTAATACGTGTATTTTTTTAAATAGATGTTTTGCGAGTTTACGGTCAAACGGAAGAAATCCTAGATACACCTAAACTGAAAGATCGAAATCATCTTCCATCTTCTATTGTTTCTGCTTCTGGTTACTTTCCAATTCCAGAAAAAAGTAATGATGTTCCAAAAGCTATAGACGATGTCATCAATTGTCCACCGAATGATGATGATCTTGGTCGTTCTCAAACTTCTCGTAGCCCAGTATTTTTCAAAGCTAATTCAAATCCTTTTCGAATAGCCTCCGAATCGTATTTATGTAAATCAAAAGAGAAAGTGGATAATAATTTCGATATTTCTGTAATGTTAAATAATGAACGTAAAGACTATTCTTCCATTGTTGTCAGCAGTAATATGCAGTCTGTCTGTCGACGCTCATTGGAGTAAGTTCAATAAACGTTTTCATCAGTGAAAAATATTTTGCCTACTTAATATTCGGAATAAATAATTTCCTATGAATCACCTTGTTCTTTTTTTTTAAGTTTCAAATATTCTCAATACAAGAAACCCTGTCAACCTCTGTGGGGAAATTCTACATTGATTGAGTCAAATAATAAACAGTCAAATTCTTCAGATTCTCTGACACCTGACCTTAACAAATCGGAAACTGAGTTGCAAGATAGCTCCTCTTCGACCGAGTCGTCTCCAAGTTTTTTAAATTCTCATAAAGTTGCCTCTCATACTTCAAGCCTACCAAATGGGAAAATTACTTGTGATCGCCTCTCGCAAATCAGTAAACAAAGTCCAAGTGTACAAAATCCTCACGTTCCCGATATTGCACTACCGAACGCAAGCATTCTAGATTTAAAACACAATAGCGTAAGTTTTTTTTAACTGAAGGAGTATTATGTCATAGATTGAGATGAAACTTTTCGGCCTCGAAAATACTACTTCCCAACAATTGCACTTAAATGTTTACACTCGAAGTAAATTCGTCCAATTCAGTGTCAAAGTTAATCTGGATTAGTAGTCTAAGTTCAGCACTTATCTGTAAAGAGAGAGGTTTTCCACATTCGATAGACCATTTTATCCATCCAGGATTGGATATCCGCCTTTTCACGTTTCTAGAGAAGCACGAAAATGGTGAACTTGACAGGGTATGCATCCTGCAATCATATAAATTTATTTTGATGAAACATAATTTCTATTATCGCATTAGTAAACAATAAGATTAACTGTCTGATATTCTTTGACAAATTTTTAATGTATTTGGTATATATATATATATATATATATTTATATATATATTTATATATATATATATATATATGTATATTAATTCTATTAAAACTGGCGAATAAAGGATATTCACTGAAATAAAAAAGTGGACCAGTTGGTTGGATATGGCTTAGTGGAGAATTCTTTCCTATAGAAGAATTTGACATTTGATTGAAACATACTTTATGACAAGTTTTTCATAATACATGAAAGAGCAGCAAAGTTTAAGAAAATCAATTGTGTGCAACAAAATTTGTTATTCGATGTATTGATACATATTTTATGAATCCGTAGGTGAAAATTTGTAATTGAAACAAAACTCAATGTCATTATTATTATAAAGATTTATAATTCAGGTGAACGCTTTTAACGTTGTTTCATATTATCAACATTTACATTCAACTATCAGCTACGACTGGTCAACACAAAAACGTAAGCTTCACAATTAAACTGTTAAAATCTAATGTAATTATTTGCTGTAACCGACAGAGTTCAGTAAAAACAGAATGCGGAAACTTACGCTTTTTATTGAACCAACTTAGTCAGTCTCATTGTATCCAATAACATAATTTTCATTCGTCTACTAAGGAGTTGTTTTTATTTTACTGTACACAAGCAGGCATTAATGATTTCCAATTTTCTTTATATTTAATGGTAGGTTTATTATTTTAACATTTATGTGTTTTTTTGTGACAGATTTCAAAACTACCAAGTAACAATCTTAAAAGTAAACACCCTTCGCATTCCAAGATATCTGGAAAAAATCGTTTACCATCTGTACAATCTTCAACTTTGGATTCTTTTTTTCAGAAATGGAAATTTAAATAAACCTACCAATGCTTAAATTTTCTTTTTCTTGTATATATAAAAGAGTATATACATATCTACATAATTACTGCTTGTGTTCCTAGATCTATTGGTATATTTTTTTTAGAATTAAATTCCTTTCCTTCCTACTAGTCTAATTACGCTAAAGTTTTTGGCTTTGTCTTTGTTTCTTACTGCTTACTCGTAATTTCGATTCAGAATTTCCACCTCAGCTTCTGATCAACATGAATATATTTTTTAGAAGGGTTATTTAAAATGTCAATAGCAGTTATTTTGTAAACAAAATGATTATAAGAGTTTTATCTACTAAAGGAAAAAATAATAGTTATTAGTACTACTCAAACGTAGTGTTTTTTCTAGCTATATCCTTCCAGTCGTTAATTATAATCGGTGCTTGGATTATTTAATTATAAATCCATCGGGACTATTGGGTAAATTAATATACCTATCCAGACTGTTAGTATTTCGTCAGAGATTGCTCAAATGACAGATATGCTTGTTTTAGTCATCGTCATTCTTGCATTACTTGACCTGTTTTATGAGCATTGGTTAAGCTTAGAATGTGCTTTATCTTCGAAAATAAGAAGTGCTTAAACTGTATTGGGGACCATGTGATCGTGCCGTTTATTATGGGAGCAGTTGTGTTCTCTATTCCGATTATCGGCCTATTCGCCTATATTACCTCTAGGACCAGTAATCTATTTTTCCAATGATACAGTGACTACTAAACAACTACCCCAAGATCATAACGCCTATTAGTTCTCGATATCTGATTCAGCGTCAAATCAAAAGTCGAAGATAGTAAGCATAGCCATCCTTTTTTGACTCAAAACTCATGCAATAATATATCTCAAATAGAAGACTGCGTAGTACTGGAATTAAGAATTACAATGGCCCCCAATGCCCTGATACGGCTGAGATTGAGGAGAGTCCGCTCTCCCTCTTGAAGTGCTCTCACACGGTCACGCGTATACAGTCTCCGCAAGGGAAGTCCTACTTACTGACTTCTCGTGGCGGGGGTGTTGTTTACGAAATTGAGAGGACGAAAAGCGGATGTCCTGCGCTTTAACCGGGTTAGTAGACATGGAAAGTCTACTTAGGGGGGTTGCATCTCCTTACAATGCCCCACTGCCTTGTGCGTCAGACCTTTAGGTCAAAGGCTTCGGGTGTGAGCCCCTAAGAAAACCACCTGCTTCGGTTTGGGCACCTGGGCAGTATCACAGCTTTCACGCAAGTCGAATTAGATTTGTGTGGCGCATATGTATCTGGTGCCCCTCTGTACCAATATTTGTGTTTAGATAAATAATTATACAAAACAGGACAATGGGGAAATCAATCAACGGAAGTTCATAAGTAGGTGGATATAAAAATATAGAAATCCTAACATCTCGTAAATACATGATAACAAGATGAACTATAGGATATTTCAACCTTACATACTCACTTTATTGTCGTGATCATTCAACCTGGATTTTAATTGGTTTTCAGCTTTCATTTTTCAGGCCAACTCAATTTACATCATGGATCATAAATTATGACGCTGAGAGATAATGAATTGCCTAAATTATCGTGGTTGAGCATGTCTCAGTATTATTTTTCTAAATTAATGTCTTTAAAATATCTTTTATTCCATAGAATTTTGTTGCAAATTAGTTAATATGGTGAAAATGTAATTCAAACTAAGATTGACATTGTTCAATAATTTTCGTTGTTATCCAATGTTGAAATTCCAACCACTATTTTAAGTTAACGCTTGATTAACATTAGTTTATTTCAGTTTGCTTTCATTCATGACTTTTAAAGTGAACTACTACTGTAAGCAACCTATGTCAAGTACGTGAAATACGTAGGTTGTAAAAGTATTAAGTCATTGTAAAGAATGTAATTCTTTTTTTTCTCCGTCATCTTTTTTTCGGTAAATTTACTAACATTGACAATACCCACTGTATGAAATAAATACATTAAACTATCCATTTTAAGTTCGCTGTGGATTTGAACATTTTGATTGGTAGTCCTCCTCAAGTAGTAATGTTTCTGCTTTTCAGTCAACTGAGAAGTCATTTTCTAAGGTGTAATATCAGACGTCAAGTTTGTACAGTTAGATCATAGTCGATTTTCTGCTTTGGTGGTGACAAAATGTTGTAGCTGTCTATTATTGCTTACCTTATACTACTTACTTATCATAGTCAATCATAGAGAAAATATAAAAATAACAATTGTTTCGCTCCCGAATGGAGCTCGTCGCCATGCGTAACCGAGACCAGGCTTTTCAAGTCCCAGTGTGAGTCACTTATCTTTGAATCATTGAGTTAGCATCCGTCGGTTTACGCGTCCAACTTCAATACCGACCAAAATCGTCTATTTGATGTAAACCTTCATGTCATTTCTATTTTTCAAAATTTTGTTGATATGGTTTACAGTTTGTACCTAAAAATTGTTTTACTTCCACAATGTGTGCATGTGTTGAAAAATAATTACCGGTGCGTATGATTTACAAGTAGTAGAGGTTGTTTATTTATAAACACCAACAATTTACAATTGATTCCAATATATTAAATAACTGAATTGGAAGAAATTGTTACTTAAAAGATTAGAAGATTCAAAATAGATCATTTAAATGAATAAATCGACATTGTCTTAAGACAGCAGTATACCCTAGATGTGTCATTTGACATGTCAATGCGTTGTTAAAAAAATTGGATTCTGGCACCAGGAAGTCAGGATTAAATGAAACCTAGGAAAGAGCAATGCAGATGTGATATTAAGTGATAAAATTTATCATTCTATTATATCTTACTCAAATTTAAGTACCTTATCGTAGTTGAAAACAAAATAACCACGAAAGCTGTAAGCTATCAAATAATGTGTTTGAAATGCCTCGACTATGTTTGTTATCAATTTATTTGTGATTGGGGATTTTGGTATCGGCTATAGGAAAATAATGAAAATCTTATCAAAGAGTACGGCGACTCATCAGAAATGTTTAGTGGCATTACGCACTGAGGTTATGGTATAGCAGAGTACCAATCGACGACAAATATGGTAGTTATTCTCATGGCTTAGTTATATCAAAGGACAACATATCCTGCAGCCTCACAAAATCGGCATTTGGTAAAAGCATCGTCTTGTATGCATTTTTTAACATCCCAAAACTACAATGAATATGTGGTGGTATGATTTGTGCTGACCTTCAATAACGAGATAAGCTTTCCAGTGACGATACTTCTAGAAAATAGGAGCGTGTGTCGAAAATATGGATAAGACGGATTCCCTCCTGAATTCTAACTCGGATACTCTCTATTATATACGCAACGATTCCTCAAAATATTTGGGCACTGTGTGGTGCAGATCTAATTTTCATTTCATTCTCAACAGTTATTAAAATATTGACGAAGCACTGAATTATATCGGGTTTCGTTATTTCATTCATGAGTTACTGATCTAAAAATTTAGTTTCGGTTAAACCTTTGAGATAAGTTCTGTGATCTCAAGTAGTTTCTTTCAGAGTTAAGCCTCGAAATCTATGAAGCGAACAAAAGTCGGTCTAATTCAAGAGTATCTGCACGAAGTTGTCTTGTAACATTTGAGTCGAACATAGGAGAAACTGGGCGTTTATTGATTGAGTCTTTCACTGAGATTTGTGAAGATTGTGAGGCCAGGGCGATCGCTGACTGAGGCACCCAAATAACTTGTCTTATTAAGAATTCAATAAGTGTTTTTAACCATGGTAACTGCGGCAGGAGCGGTGCATCATCACAGCATTTTAAGGGAGGTAAGATTGGTTTTAAAATATCTCGAGAGCAATAGTTCGATGACATCGGTTTGAATTTATTGGACAGGCTACTTTTATATTTGATATAGTCAGTATGAACAATTACATAAAGTTTTAACTAAATTCAAATGAACATACTTGGAATGTGTACTGCCCTGGAGCAATGTCAGTTATATCAACCCATTGGCAATCATAATCATGTAAATACATATCTCGACATCCTGGACTTATACCTGAAAACAGAAGAGCGTAAAAGAAGTGTCGAATTTAAATCATAGGTTACTGTTTTCATGTGTATCTAGTGAAGTTTCAGTTTATTGACTTTTAAAAGAAACTATTTTATTCAGTTTATATTAAATGACTTTTTTAATGTCTGGGAGTATTGATGTACTCTACATTGCAATATTCAAAGGGCTGAAAATATCACACTGTACAACTTATGTATTTCGAAGGTTATGGTGTAATTCTAGGTCCTATTGTGGTGTGTACTACTTATGCGGACAGGCACAAGTAGTATGCAGCAGGGAGTGTAATGCTTACTCATAGAAGATTGAAATAAAAGGAAAACAGACAGCAGTCGGAATAACAACAAGATTGAAAGAATGATGTAGTATGCAGTGCACAACTCGAGGAAGATGTACAGATGATGTATTTAGTGTATGATTTTCATACTTTACAAAGCCACTGTGTGGTTTTGCACATATTTTTTTCGTACATTGCACTGTGATTAATTTGATTTAATGAGAAAACAAATTTCTAGTGCATAATTTTAAATCAGTTGCACCAAGATCTTATCTGATAAATAGTTCATTATTTTTACGGAGATAGTATAGTACAGGAATGAGTCCAATTAGTTTTAGCTAGTCAGAAAACAGCATTTATTAATGGATAGTTTATGGAACATAATGCAATAATATTGTTCAGTGTCTTCTACAGGTTACTCAGCTTGTAAACCCAAAATTAAAAACAAATTCGCTCTAATGACTACGAATCGTTCATACTCTCGAACCCTTAAAAGGATCAAAAAAGTTTTTTAAGAGTCATCTCACTGTTCCTAGTAGGAGTTAGATGCTTACGGTTAGGGTGCTCTGTAGTCATGTGGATGAATGGATTTCATTCAGAAACATAGCATACGCTATCTGTTTAATTCTTTGATAGAATACAGCTTAGACGTGTGATATGGAGAGCCAGTCAGAAGTAGCAAAAGTCAAGTGCATTTCATTGGGGTCAATTTCTTAAGGATAGGGTGGTATATTATATATATATATGATTATATGATAGTTTTATCACCTTATGGTTTCACCGTTATTTCAAAACTTGATGCATTTTCTTATACTTATTCATGAGCTAAACTTGATATATGGCAAAGTATAATATCAACCTTCTATTACAGTCTAGTTAGTTGGTCTGCTTTCGGCTATTTATCACTACGGTTGTTATGTGAACGCTTAAACTGATGAACTAAAACTTATAACTTTTATTATACGTCGAAATTCGGTAAGTATAGTTGGACTGATCAACGAGTAATCTCACAGTTATAAAATTAGCTTGAATTCATACTTACTTTCCATCCTACACTTTAAACATGTACGAAACTAAAATAACTCAGAATATCACATTCAATAGCCAATTGTAAAGGAAATAAAAAATTTACTACAAAAAATCACTCAATATTACTACTTATTATGCATAGGATTTAAAGTATACAGAATGAATACTTTTATTTACGACAGAAACGGTATTCATGGAAAGCTGATTATTCTGAAAAGTTGTATATCACTTTTGTCAGTGTACTTTTTATAGTTCATTAAAATTATCAGCAACCCTAATCTCTGGAACTAAACCTTCAGATTACATAAAAATCCAATTTATAAACTAACAACATTTTATGCATAGTATTATGTCAAATATAGTTACCTTGTGTTCCTTTACTATCGACTACATTACTACAACGGAACTTAGGTGCTACTCCAGATTTGCACACATTATCTTCCAAACAAAAGCTTGATTTATGCCCAACAGCTACTAGCCTCTTTTCTGTATCCACAACTTCGTAACGTGAAAATACTTTCATGCTATGATAATGCCTATACAAAGAAATATCAAAATATCCACTGTACTCAAAATAAGCTCACCTCTGTCATGTGGCATTTTTTTTCACTTACTGATCATTCAATGATAATATAATTTGATTTTGAAAATTATTTAATAAACTTGACTTTTACATACAGTAAATATGACGAAATCTAACAGAAAATCATTCTATAATAATTAAAAAATCAGTATTCAGGTTTTCTCTACAGCCCAGATTTCTCAATCTTGTCAAAATCTCATTTGTTTTAGATACAAAACCATTTAACTAATTAAGTACCAGGTGAGAAAAATACGTATTCTTAGAACAGGATATAATACCACGACATAACACACTGGATTGTGAAGTATAACCCAAAATGTTTGTCACTTCTAAAATTTGAAATTTTATTGAAATGCAGTGTTAAACAAATATTTTTGATTATGGATACCATCATATCGTTACAAACGATCACATTTTCACATACAGAATCCTTATTTTCATGTCTTATATTTTGACAAAATTATTGATTATATTTTATATAATAAACCATGTTTATTTCTTTCTGAAGTTTGATTCACCTAGTAACAATTATCTTTGTTTAATATCCATGAGAATTTATTTTAGAATTATTATTATGAACATATTCCTGTCATAGTCTCTCTAAAAAAATTACAAAATATCATGGGGAATATTCTTAGATCAGAATGAGGATGTTGCACGTATAGAATCTTTTAAAGCTAAATGATTTAGTTAAGAAGCTTGAAAGACTTCCCTCTAAAGTATATGCTGACGAAGTTGTCCAGAAGAACACTGAAAGCTTCACGATTAAATCATCTAGTTTATAATATATTACACCTCCAAAATTCTAGGATAGTTAAATGAATAAGTAATATCACTTTTCTAGATATTTCAAAGCAATAAGTCTCCTCATATAACTATATAAAACTCTAGTCAGAATGCATGTTTACTCTAGAATGAGAACATATTTAAGATGGAATATACTCGGATATCGCTTCTCATGCTGATTGGACAGATACATTCAAGTTTTTAAAATATCAGTATAAATTATCAATACACATAGAAAAATTCATTTCTTTAATGTTCTTAATAATACACTGAATATATTAAATATTTTCAGTTTCAGCTTACTTACATATGGCATGCATGCCATTCCCAATTATCTGGATCTTCTAGGGGTCGAAAAACCTCATTTCCAGAGTTTTCAATAATTGATGAGAATCTCATCAGGGTTCTGGTCATCCATGTATAGTTATCTAAATTTTTAAAAAATGCGGCTGAAAATATTCGAAAATTTTGATTTGTTCTTTATTATTTCCCTGGAAGGGTAATGTAAAGCTTGATTTTCTAGGAAAAAATCTATAATGCATGACTGTTATGCACTATACCGGACACTCACACAGGCGAACATAATTTAGGTCTGAAACAACATATTTTAAGTCATATATATATATGCAATCACTAACCATTCGCTGTTCACTGACACCGATAAAATAAGTTTATTTTAAATCATAATCTCAGGTTCTACGTGCTATGGTATTGCACAACGTCCAATACAGATTAATAATTAGGTATATTAAATAAACTGTCAGTAGCTAATTCTTATTTTTGACAATATTACGTTTTTCTTGCTTCATATAATCAGAGTAATGAAACAGAACATAAATTCACATTAACTGATCAATGATTAGTAACCTGTTTTACAGTCAAAATACAAAGGACTAGAATGACTGAATGGCGGCTGAGGTACTTGAATACAAACTGAATTTTCACGGATTTCTGTTAATTATATACAAGTTTACAAATACTTTAATTGTATAATTACACAGTCAATTTACATCTGTTTATCAAATCAAATAAAAAAGGTGAGAGGGACTAAAGAAATGAAGTGTCAACTCAATAAGTGGAAAAATGTGAAATAGCTCAAATAATTTCCTTTAAGATAAAAAAAAGCGTATAACAGAATGAAAAAAGCTAATGAGTGAAGGAACAGGTCCTGCAGAGGACATTCTCAGATGAAATATATATTTAAAGTAATCATGCTTCCTAGATTTAACAACAAATAGTTATTCTTTACAAGAAGAGAATAACGTAATTATTACTATATCTCTAAGTGTCACTACCTTTAAACTATCATTTTATGAAGTTTCATTAGTAAAATATAGGCTAGAAACAAAAGAAATTTCAATGCCCACCGCATAAAACATTTACATTAAATGTTTAATGATAAACTATGTTGATATTTCACATCAAAACTGTTGTAAACATTGTAAGCAAAGATGGATAGTGGCTAGCAGTGGAATCCAGGACGCGAAGTGTACTGGGTTCGAGTCTCAGAGTGAACATCAACTCTGGGATGCAGGTACATCCAGCTGACGAGTCCCAAAAAGGACGAAACGCGCGTCCTGGATTCCACTGCTAGCCACTATCCATCTTTGCTTACAATGCTTGCCACTTAAGGCTATATTGAGGTGATACGCACAGTATGCACATATGCCAATTAGAGACTGACCAGTTTCAGTTCCAAACATCAACGGGAAGATTCAAACAAACAATACTAACTGTTGTAAACATTGTTTAATAGTTTTCATCTTAATATATATTGATTGTCATATATTTAAAAACAAGTTGATCTATAAAATTGTGCTTTTCTAAATGTTAATGGATTTGATGTTATATTTATGTTTTCATTAAAAAGGATATATTATTCACCAATGAATAAATTATAAATCTTCAGAAATACTTCATTTCTTAATACAGAGTTCAATAATACTGAATATATATATTTACATAATAACAGTATTGAAGCTTACAACTTTACTTTAATGTGAACTGTTAACAATTACTACACCTCTAAATAAATCAATATATTTGTAATGTCCCAATGAGTAGAAAAATTAGATTTTCTGACGTTTCGTGACTCAGTGTAAGCTGCTTCTTCAGTGAATAAATAACCAAATTACTACATATATTTTATTGATTAAATTTAATGTTTTTCAGGCTATATATCATCTTCATGAATTGATTTGGTTTATTATATAAATATTACTTCTTACCTAAAAGTATATTATTATCATTTCTTTCTATTTCACATGGGCAATTAATCAACTATGAAAAAAACTTGGTTAAATAGAATACGCTTGTATTTTGAACGGGAGTTTCTAAAACCTTATTACCATGTATAATTAATTAAATAGTTATTGAAGAATACATCATGAATGAATGATATAGATTTATTCGACGTATTTATAGTGACAAAGGTGAGTAGGAAAATTCTGATCATTTATATGACTAATCATTGTATTTATTTTATCGATAGATTCTATCGATGGATTTTCAAATTACAATTAGCTGACAAACAAGAATATCATCTATCAAGCCAATAAGAATCGATTATGTCAATTGTGCCTCATTTTTATCCCGAAAATTCTAAACATAGAGTTTTATATATAATTTATCTTCATTATAAAAATCAATAGGGTGCTTTGGTAACAACATTCTTGATATCTACATATTTTTGATTGCCTGTACTGCCCACCTCTATGTGTTGAAGTAATAATAATAATAATAATAAAATGAAACTTACGTCATTCTTTTATAGCTGGATGAAAATTGTTTAAATAGTTTCTTTTTTTTCTGATAAAGTTATCAAATAATAACGAACACAATTTCGCTATTTCATGTTAGCTTAATCGTCGTAACGAAAATATCACATGAATAAGTTACACATCCATCACTAAACGATGGTGTTACAGATAAGATTCTTAAAATGAACATTTTGATGATAATTTTTCCATGAGATGTGGACGATGTACAGTTTCATCTGTTTTATTCAAACTATTCGTAAGATTTTTTAGAATCATCTCACTGTTTCAATGACGAAAAGTTTTATTTGTCATACATTCATTGTAAAAACCTATCTATAAATGAGTTATTAAAGTTTTAACTACTATTGGGGGTTGATTAATTGGATATAAGAACATCACAAAAATCATTTTTTAGACAAAGAGACTAATATACACGTTACTCAGACTATATGGGTAAATATGGGTAAATTTCATTCAGAGTTCCAAATTATGATAACTTTAAAATCAATAAACTAATAAAAAGTTCATAAGTTTATGAGAATAATAAAAATGGAACTGCTTACATGGATTATTATCAATAATTCTGTACACAATATCTGGCAAGCAATTTTCTTCAAGAGCACATTCTAATAACCAAAGACTCATTTTCTGAATATACGCAGATGTTTCTAAACTGTAGCGATCAGGTGATAAATCCGGTAGATCTAATATTTTTTTGAAAAAAAGACCATGGAAAACATTGTATACACGAAGTATTTTTGTCACTTATGAAATTATAGTAGATTATCTTCAAGATAATTCCTTACGCTTCGTATATCTTTTGTCCTGATAACTGGTATTAAGCGAATCCCAAAGGTGTATGTATTCAGAAATGCTGACTATAGTTTATGATTTAATATCACTGATCACTAAGCCAGAAGCACAAAAAGTGAATTCGAGCAGAAAGTTTGGTGAGAGCAAATACAGAGGAGAATTTAGAGTTGAATAAAGAAATTAATAAAGAGTCATACACAACAAAATATATGTGTATATTGAATGAGCTGGTCACAAAACTCTATACGAGAATTATGATAGTTTTTCTCAATATTACTGATATTTTTTCAATTTGATTAGCAAATTTGTTGACTTTTGAACTAACGCAACCGATAAGCTGACTAATGCTTAGAATATCTTATGAAACACACGGACTAATGCAACTTAACGATTTCCTGTGTTTTTTGTTATTACAGTCAACTTGGAACCATTTGTAGTAAATTTAGTGACTTAAACAACTACAGCGTAAAGTTATTTAGTATCTTCTACTCCAATAATAGTAAATTTATAAGCTCTGTTTACATGATCAATAGGTTATACAAATTTTCACTTCCATTAACTTCTATTTACATCAATAGTAGGTCAGTTGAATGATCAAATCTACTATTTATTCTTTTAGTTCATAACTCAAGTGATTATCCCTAACATATAAAATTTCCCCTGTAATAAATAAAAGACTTTTCATGATATATGATATATAACTAACTTTCTAACTATAAAAAGTTACTGCTTAATCGCTAGGTTTTATATTTAATAGAATGAGTTATATATAGATGAGAAAAATCTAGAGACAGTTGTATGTATTCACTACATCTCTGTACACCTTCCTGTTTCAAATGTTTTGATTTAATATGATTTAATTTTTATAGTTTAATACACATTTATGCTTTACTAAAAAGATTAATTGGTGGCTTAAATGGAAAAATTAATCAGTATGATCATCTGCATTACGATGATGTTTCACTTTGTATAATGATGACATAATATTAGTTAATGAATGGATTTTGATAAACACATAAAACTTAAACAAAGGACTGATTTTTATATATAGTTGAAATCATGAGTCAATTGAAGCCAGACCACCATCGAAAACCTGGAAGCACTGGACGGCCGTTTCGTCCTATTGTGGGACTCCTCAGCAGTGCGCACTCACGATCCCACCTCGCGAGATTCGAACCCAGGACCTACCAGTCTCGCTCCAGAGCACTTAACCGATAGACCACTGAGCCGGCACTAGTTTCTTCAAAGGGGCCATTCAATGTTTAATGATATAAGAATTTACGCTAATAATTCTCTTTTCTTTTATCGAATTCAATTCATTGGGTTTATTGTCGACTACTTTTAATTATTTTATTGTTTTGATGAACAATGGAAAATATTGTAAATAAGTTAAATCTTTCGACTAAATGAAAATAGAATAAAACATAATAAGGAATATTAACTGTTATAAATTTATTTAATTTATTTGATTACAGGTTTCTACAATCTGAAAGAATGAAGTGATATTTGAGAAATATATTTTAATTTTATTAGTTGAGATGATGAAATAATTGAAGCTAGAACACCATGGAAAACCTAGTAGCACTGGACGGCCGTTTCGTCCTATTATGGGACTCCTCAGCAGTGCGCATACTTTACATTAAAAATTAAATAAATTCATTGATTAATGAGTTCTCCCTTTTTATTTTCTAATATTTACTTGACTTTTGATATAAGCGCCTATATTAATAAACAAATAATGTAAATGAATTAATAATTAGATAAGATTAACAGTATATAACATTTATTCTTACTATTTGTACATTCAACAGCTGCTGCTAATTTTGACTGACATGAAATACCATTGTAATCGATATAACTTTTACAATACTTTAAATCGGTCTCATTCCCATAACAATACCCAAGTATAGCAATTGGATTAGTGGTATTAATTCCAGTTTGTTCGATCGGCATCTAAAAGATAAGACGAAAGATGGCAAAGAAAAATATATTTTCTTTTCAGATAATTTTTTTAATAAACTATGTTAGTGAAAGCAATATATGTATAACTATATATTGCAATAAGGCCTGGTGTGTATCTAATTGAAAACAGTATTATTTAGTGATGTCTTTTCTAAATTATAGATATGTGCTATAGTTATGTATCATAAACCAACGTTTTGTTCTTTTCAAAACCTATACTTCAGCGAGGTAGTAATCAACGAGAACGCAAGTGGGGGCAACCAAACATATTTCAATACATTACATAATATCTTGGTAAAATCTGAGAACCATACAGTAAATACTTCATTTTCAGAAATCCATCAACTGTTTCAGACTTTGTTGTTCCTTCGTTTCCATATTAATCAATCTCTGTTCTCGTTATCTCCTCTTCGATTTTCTCAACCTCCTGTCGCCAGGCACCCCACATTTGATTGGTGATACATACTACTTATTTCCGCCGACGTCAATAGCACACACCACACCAATACTTGCCAAACTGATCTCAGTAACTGATAGATAATTTTAGCTTTTTATTTCGAAAGATCTTTGAATTTTAAAGATACGAACGTATTTTTAACCAGTCAATTAGTAAAATCTATAGAAAGTATTCATTAAATCAATCGTACTTTAACAAAGTGTAAGAGATTTCGTCTAACATACCGCGATAACTCTACCTCCACGACCAGCATTTAATTGATGACAAAATACAATTGCTTCAGCTGCATGGAAATGATCTGAACATACTGTTCCCTTTGTTCCATTTTCTGTTTCAATTAAAACTGGAATGAATATAGATGATTGTGGATGGTGATTCAAGTTCAATTGTTGACTGATCACTTTGAATTTTATCTAATTGGTTTAAAGTGAGAAAATATTAAAATCTAATTATCTGTAAACGAATTGCAATATAACTTTTCTTCTAACAAAACTCATTGTCCAAACCAACTGATAACTGTACATTCTTAGAGAATAATCGAATTCTATGGATTAATTTGCAGCGTGATAACTAGTCTAGTTGAGTAGAAATAACCATGAAATTCGTTTGATGTTAAGTGCTTGTAAACTATTAGCAAAAAGCCGTGGCTATAATAGTCGTGCTGGTTGGCATTCGTAGCAAAGTATTTTATAAATTTCAAGGGAACTAAAACTCTTTATGTGTTTTGAACATAAGTCGCTCTTTGTCTTAGTCAAAAATGTTAACGCTAGGTTATTTGGGTGGAGACTGATTTTCTGTAGAACTGAGATATTTGTACTAGCTTGGCTGATGTACTTTCATGGGCTCTAAAGAACAAACAAATGTAACGTCGGTTACTTTATAGTGCTTATAAAAAACAAAAATACTCTTTTCTGCCTGAATAAATTGAGAATTTGGTAAAAAAAGAAAGCATAAGTTATAAATACTGTTAAAATTATAGATCCATCACAAACACCACTGAAACACGTGAGCCATAAGAATTTCTTAAACATTTCACTAATTCCTCGAAAGTTTTTATAATTTTCATCAAGATTTGTATTTGCTCAGTCTACTTATTGGGTAGGCCGTGTAGTATCCTATGAATAATATAAAAAAATTCTAAATATGAACAATAGAAAACCCCACTGACGGTTGATTGGTTATAGTAATCTCAGAAATATTCATTTGAGTGATTAGTTTGTTTATCACTAAATTGGATAAGAAATAATGAAGATTCAATAAAGAAAACCTCCTTTTTTACAGTGTCATTTAATAAAGCTGTACAACCGTAATAATAGACACCTTAAATGAGTATACATACAAAAAATCATATTTTTAACGTGATCAAAAGTCCTATGAAGTGTCAAAAGAAACCATGCAATCAACCAATGAATAGACGGTAAAGTCAGATACTAGACGGGACATATTTGTTCATTCGAAGAACATGGAAAAAGTGTGAATAAGCTAAGGTAGTAACTTCTAAATCTATAAGGGATTTATTATTCTAATTTTTGAAAATATATTACAATGAGGGCCTAGAAGTACTGTTCTTGAATGTACGAATCAAATTTTTTATGATAAATTAACAACGATCTTTCTGTGCGTAAAATTCTGTCTCGTATTCCAGAAGAGCTAAATTATATAATCTTATGAGTGATTTTAAAAACTACTTCATTCGCTGAGATTTTACTTCTAAACGGATTACAAATTCAGAGTTGATTAAATATTCAAATACAGAACTAATTATTTCAATAGTGTAATAAGAAGACAAAGATTATCAAAACAATGTGATACATTAGCGCAATACATTTCGGAATATTAAAGATTCCCGTTGTGTTGTTCTAATACATTTCGAACAATCTGATCACACATATACTTGTTAAGAACATTCATATATAAAAATAAAAGGTCAACTAGAATGGAAATGGGGGTTAATAGAAAACAAGGATAATGATAATAATAATAATACTAATAATAATGTGAAAACAATTTGAAACCTAATGACTTAGGTTAATAAGCTAATAAGGTAAGAACAAACTGCTTTTGAATACACAAAGGGGGTTTGAATTTTTGTATGACTAAGGCTTCAATAAACCTTGATATACGCTCTTTTACACTTTCATACAACACCACAAAAACCGAGTTAAGATCAATCTTATGGCCTGTTTCGATTATATGTTTGGCAATGGAGGATGATGGATGTTTATCCTCTACTCTTATTGGATCATTTGATTTTATTTGTTTCTGCAACCATTTTTGCACATGTTCACACACTCTAATTTCAGATCACGATTGCTACTCCCTATGTAGTGTGACCACACACACATTTAAATTGGTAAATGCAGTGGGATGTGACATAAAGGTTTCCATGTCTTTTAGGTTTTGAATGAAGCATGGACGTCGTTCTTTCTTTGATAATGACCTTCGCTGCACAATACGTTTTGTTGGTGATTGATTTAAGCCTTTGTTTCAATAAAAGGCTATTTGAATCACCTCTAAATGATAAGGTGATGTAGGCAGGCTTTTTTTCTGCAAGGCAACAGTAGGTCTCACTGTACCATGAACTTTCCATTTGTTTATGGGTTTAAGTGGATAGCCATTTCCCATTAATGTCTTGTTTAAAAATTCAACATTATCATCAATATCATCATTTGTGCAAATACGATCAAGCCTGTTAAATGGACACCTTATCAAACCCCATTTGTATTGCACAAGGCGATAACTATAATATCTAAGGTATTGGCCGGTCAACGTTGGTTTTCGAAAAATGGGTCCTTTGATTGAGCCATCTTCTCGTCTACTTAGAAGTATATTCAGGAAGGGAAGTTGGTCGTTCTTCTCCTCTTCGCATGAGAGACTGATGTGATTTCAAATACTGGTAGTTTATATAATACACAGTTCATATCCTCCTTTCTTTCACAGATAACTAAGATATCATCCACGTATCTCTTATAAAGTGACATGTTTTTGATTAGATCTTCAGCCAGATTTTCAACATGTGCCATGAACGCATCGGTTAATAATGGTCCTAATCATATTATATTCAAGTTTGGAAAACAATAATTATAAGATTAGAAACTCTTTTTTATAGAAGCTAGATTTCTATGTAAATCAAACAGTTATACTAAACATGTTACAATTTAGATTATCGAACTGGAATTTTTTATTCTATTTTACTCCATAGATAGACATCTTTGACGTTGTCGTTTACTCGATAAAGTAGTTGTCGTAAACTAATTGGCTCCTAAACTGTTAGCTTTACGACAGTTCAAATAAACAAACTTGTTGAAAGTGTATTTGTATTGTAAAAGTGTTGATTGTCCTAATAGAAAACAGTTTATAGTTTACGTACTTTGGACATTTTTTCTAACTCCAACTGAGTAAATTTCAATTTAAGCGGATTCCATAAAGGCTTATTTATTATTACAGCTTTTTGAGCACATTTTACACCAGCTTCTTCATTAACTCGACAATCATGTACACCCCAACCGTTAAATCTACAATCAGTTAGACGTTTTTCACTACCAGTACAATGAACTTCATCCATTAAATAATTTGCTGAAATGTAGAAAGAAAAACATTTTAATTGTCGACTAACTTTTTAATTATTGAAACATGAAGTTACTTATATAGTATTAAGTAGTATTAATTCAATAATGTAAAATTACCAATGTATATTCATTATTCGTAGTGTAGTTATGATAATTATTTATTTCCAACAAACTACAGAAGAACTCAGTTATTCTGACTGTTCGTTTGAATCATTCCTTTAAATATCTTACGAACTTATTCAAAAGTATCTGATCCAATCTTTGAAAAACAAAACTAATCGGTAAATCAGAAGTATGTAGAAGTAACATTAAGATTTCAATGATCCATTTTCAATGATTGATATTAAAAGTACTTGTTGTATCTAAATAAAATCCTGTTATAAATATAAAAACACTTCATCTTAATGATTACAACATATACATCGTTATGTAATTAGAAAAAAAGTGTTCAAATAAATAGAATGTTCTATGGTCTGTTTTTTCTTTGATAATCCAGTTTAATAATTAAATAGAGTAAAGAAAAAAATGTATAAGGAGATGGAAAATTATCATAGACTTGATTAATCTTCTTTAGTAAGTAGTTTGCAAGAAAAGTAGTTAAGTCGACTGACCTCATTACTTGATCAGTGTAATTTTTGGCAATACGTTAAATTGCATGACTACATATTAACTTTTATAAGTTATTTGGAATCATATTCGTCTTTGAAAAAACCTAATATTTCACAACGTAGATAATATATATATCCATTTAACTTTATGTATAAAGTGTATCCGTTGTCATGGAGTATCAAAAACAGCAATGCACTTGGTTCATAAAACTATTCTTTTAATCTGATCCTTCTAGTAGTCAAGACTTCAAAACTAAATATTCATTCATAGACACAGAAAATCACCCTTTATTCTGATAAACATGATTGAAATCCTCTCATCAACACTGAAATTCATAACTCAATAACACTTTTTACTTAATAACTTGTATATTTTTGACAGCTGAGATTATGTCATATATATTTATGTATTTGATCACCTGCTCACTGTTTAAGTCGTTCAGAGTCATTCACCTAGGATTCAGGAATATTATCAATTCAGTAACCCAAATCATTTGATAACTTTTCACACTAACTGAATAATTATAGCATTGCGAATAAGGTTAGTATACTGTGTTGTCTGTATGAATAAATGATTCATTTGTACTTGATGTGTTCCTGATTTCCAATTCCAAAAACAACACATTCGTTTGTGTTCACCTAGTTCTGACTTAAATTTCGCTATTTTGAGGATTCCTAGTTAGTATGATACTTTAGATACTTCTAAATGTCACGAATACTCAGTGAGGTAATTAAATAGATTACTTTACAATGTCCCATATTTCAAAAGTTACATTCATTTGAAATTTCAGTTTAATAACCTCATTACGCACTTTGGAATTTCACATACATTCTAGACAAAATATTTATAGATTTTCAGATACGGCTTATCGATAAGCTGAAGGAAGTCTAACATACTATTTGAACTTTATATGTTATTTACATTTTACTGGCTCTGTATCCAGTCCAACTAATGGCTTCAAAGCTAAGTTGAGTGAATAACTCATAATAGATTTCGAATGTGTATCATAACTATGTTCTGATAATATTCGTCTTCTTATTACACATTCGAACTAATTGATTTAAATTTTATTATAGATTATCTATCTAAAAAATCAGTACATTATCGAAACTCTCAAGTCCACTGAAATTTCACATTTATTGCCGGCACCAACGACCAAAAACTTGTACAACACATTGAATTCAAATTCAGATTACTTTGTGACAACATATTAGGATTATATTGATGGGACAGAATCACACATAAAAAGGATGTTCACGCAAACCATCTACATTTTCATTTATTGCTCGTTAAGAGAACACAAAATGTATCTTATTAATAGATTTTAAATAATCTGACGCCTGTGGAGCTAATAAGGAAAGAAAACGTATGAATTTCTGAGTTTATATATTTCCTGTAGTTCATATAAATTTAGACAGCAAATATAGAAGACGGAAAATATCTATGATAATCGGAATAAATTCAGTAACTTTCAGAAATATTAAACTTTTCCACTATCCTCTTTCAAAGATCATGTATTAATAAATGGGCAGACGTTAAGACCGAAGAGAATGATCATTAGCTGTTGTGTGATCTTTAATTTTAACTTCGGTTAAGTCTATTTAATTATTTCGACATCCTATCAGAGCGACTGAGGAGTCATAATTGATTGACTTTACGAAGTAAGATATTATTGTACATACTTTCTCATTCCAAACCATTTGAAAGAAGAATAAAAAGATCGTAAACGTGAATAAAAATTGACTTACCATGAGAACATTAATGACTTAATTTGGTTTGATTTAAGAAATATGGATTTTCTGTAAGATTGTTTCTACAATTTACATATAAGGTAAATCAGTAGGACATACACAAGTTGGAAGTAGACATGGGGTCAACAGATGAATGTTTACAGATTATCAGTATACTCTTCTTTCTAGGAAATTCTTATGAATATATAAGAAAGGTATTAATGGGACACTCAACTGGTCAAAAATATACTCGTCTTAACAAGAGGTGCAATTATTATGTCTATCTACAACCAAATACTTTTATTTTTGCGACTTTTGCAGGCAAAATGTTTATTATTTGGCATCTTGCTGTCTGAAAAGTATACATAATTTTATTTTATATCTGTATTTATTTCCCTGATCAGTAGCAATTTGTAAGTCGGTGACCACTGATACGAATACATTCCAGTGAATTAGATAAAAAGTGTTTTGATTATCTTTTATCTTTGTGTAGGACTCGTTTCTGTTCTTAAATCTTAATCACATTGTATTCAAAAAGGTTTGAAGGGAGTCAAAAAAGCACCTGAGAACATTATTTATTGTTAAACTTTAGTGGGAATTTCATTTATGTAGGATATACAAAAATATTTTTGTAGCTCAATGAAATGAAATTTCACATCACTAACCTTGAGAGTTTGATCCGAATCTGTTACGTCTGTGTACTTCAAGAGCGTGACCCATTCCCAATTGTCTACAAACAACATTTGCTTCTTTCATTGTCCAGTGATCATCACATACTTTGCCCCAACCATACGTTCTATAAACTAGTACAGTACCAGTTTGTTCACTTGGACCATCGACCAATTTAATATCACCATCATAATTTACTGAAGAACATTGTATATTTGCAATGAGGAAATCCACAACAATTGTAGTGATGATAATGATTGTATTTTGATTACGAAACGAAGTTTTATCAGAATTAGTTAGAGACATTATAAAATTATTTTACAATATATTCAGTATTTTCTCTCATTTATATATAAGTCAATGTTCATGCTGGAGCAATTTGAAAGTGAACATATATTTTGAATTAATTTCTTAGTGTATTTTATTCGAGTGAATATGCTGATCAAGAAAAGTGTAAATGTTTTTCATTCATGCAAATGAGAATATGAATTAAATAAGTAACTTTATCTAACCACCTTTATTAAGTAAAATCACTAATATATTACTAAATGAGATTAGATTATAAGCAAGTGGTTGAATGGTTAGTTAGTTAGTTAGTTGTACATTTTTGTTATTATCGAGATGAGATCATCAAAGTACGAAAAAAAAAATTGTCCAAAATATATTTTACATAAGTCGATAAATAAAGCTTTTGTTGTAACTAGATTGTAAATAACGAAAAGCTGTTTCTTGCAACAAAACTACTTTTTCTAATTTCCAGAATGCTTTGGTCTACGATGTGTAAAATGATCAGCACTATCAAAGTACAATTAACTAATTGTTGACATATTAAAAACAAATGTAGACTTACATGAACATTTCTGATTAAATAATTAGATGAAACTGGAACACATGAGTATTTCCGTTTGAGTAACCGGAGGTTTACAGCGGTTAGTCATATCATAAAAATATTGTTCTAAGCTGAGTGTATATGCCTTAACTTGATAAATGGGTTTCGCTAGAAAATTCAAAATTAAATAAATTCTTTTTATTTAGGTAATTTTCAATATGATAAGCTAGACAACTGTTTAGAAAGACAATTAATTACGTCAAAAACAGTAACTGGGGAATATCACTGAGTTGCAAACAACACGCAGTGGGGAATAAATCCCCAAAATAAGTGGTTCTAGAAGTCATCAACAATTATGCTTACTTCATAAGTTTTACTGGACACATCTAACTGAAGGCTTTCGGCCATATATCCGCATGAAATCACAAGTGGGTGCGCTGTACCACGCATCTCTTGAAACCACTAGCTTGAATGGATCAAACGCTTTTCGGGAATTTGATAGCTTTTCAAATATATCATAGAAACACTTCATTTCTGATTTCTCACTTGACTGAGTCGGTATATTCCGATTATAAAGATGTTACTTGTAAAGGTTCTGTTAAGCTCCAAATATCTGTGGCATCATTAGTGCTGAGATTAACGTGATCTGGTACACCAATTAGTATGCTACGAGTTTGTTCCTCGTTGAAACATTTTATATCTTTTTCTAATTTATATTTTTGCAGTTTGTGATATTGTTCTCATATTTTCGGATATCTCCTTTCTCGTTCATTTTTATATTATGCCTTCATCAAGGTTAAACAGACATCTTAATTACTTAGGATTAAACCTCTTTAGCGTCCAACAATTCGGCTGATGCGATTCTGGAGTAACAAAATAGAAGCCTGGTTCTGCTACGCAGAACCGTACACGAGCACGGGGCGACAGACCGACGTGCACAATTTATTGCAGTTGTGAAAACATTACCATGTGATTTCGGCACGTGCTGCACACCTAGTATGTTCTCCAGTGATGTTTTGGGACCTCACGACACTTTGAAGAAGGCTATGCTTTAACTTGGAGACCTATCCGATCGACAAATTTTAAACCAACTCTTCTACAACAGCGAATCACAACACGGCTCTATGACAGAAGTGTTTCTACATATGCCATGAGGTCATTAGTCAGTAGACCTTTGATGAGGTCCTGTTTAGACTACTCTTTCTGTCTAATCTTCCCTAACAGGTGCAGACAGTCCTTGTCTCATTGCAAAGTGACGTGGCAAACAAACTGGCTGCATCTGCTGACCGGACTGTGAAGTTCACTAGAACCCCACAACGTCCAGGTTTATTCTGTCAAAGAAAAGTCTCAGACAACACAAAATGACGTTACGGACCTCTGTCATACTCTCACTCTTACTCATTTACCTACGCATGTTACCCTTCATGGAGGAGCATAGGCCGCTTTCCAGCCTTTTCCATCCAACCCTATCCTAGACTATCCTTTACAGTTCTTTTCAACTGGCTATTGATCCTTTTCATATCTAATCCATTTTGCGACACAGTGTGTTCTTTGGCCCTCTGATTTTTCGTTTCCCTTCACAATTACAAGTTAGTGCTTGCATCCTGATGCCTACTGATGATTTCATTAATGTATGTCCTATCCACTTCCAGTGTTGTAGGATTTAATTTGTCTCACAGATATGCTACTAAAACTGTAAACGCCATACTGGCGATCCCAGAGCCTAAGTGAAAGCCATGATCAGGACAAGGACAAATTAGCTTTAAACTTTATCTATTTCTAAACATAAAAACAATTAGATTAGTACAATAATTAAAGAATTACAATCATAAAGTGGAACGCACAAACATACCTACCAGTATTGCGTGTCTTATCGAAGTTAATAAAATTTCTAAGTCACATTAATATAATAGGATAATGATGTCATTCAATTGGTGAGTTACAAACATGATAGTTTACAGACACATCAGACCAGAATAACGTGGTGGGAGCTTAACCAACGTTAGTTATGGACATAACTAACAAGTTTCTTTCCTTAGTTTCATCCTTGGCTGAAAATTGGTTTGTCCTCACCGACAGTAGGCTCTTTCTGACGGTACCGATCAACGGTATCTTACGTAGACAGCTGATTATAAATACCTGTACATTTTTGATTGTGGTTTTCGTAGTTCTCGAAGTATCAGCTCCGTACAGTAGAATTGTTTAGCCGTTCGTATGAAAGATTCTGACTTTGATATCATTTGACAGTTGTTTTGAGTTATATTTGTTCTTCGAATACATGAATGTCGACCTTATTTTGCTAATCCTCATCTTTACGTCTGCATCATATCCTCCAAGTTCATTCATGATGCTAACCAGGTAAGTGAAACTTTCCACCTCTTCCAGAGTTTCACAATCAAGTACGACTGTGTGTCGCAGTTTGGATTATATACGGCCGATCCATACGCAATCCGACCTGTTGATCTCAAAGTTGTGCATCGACTGAATTTTTCATCCGGTTCAGCAACACTGTCCAAAACTTTTCCCGGTACAGATAGTAGTGTGATGCCTCTGTAGTTCTCACACTTGCTCAGATCTCCTTTCTGTGTCTGATTTTAGTGCTTCAGCTGGTGTATTGTCGGGCCCTGCTGCTTTCCCACTCTTGATTTATTCGATCGTTGGTGGGATGACAGCTACAGGAGGGTCCGTATGTGCTGCTTCGATGTTCAGTGGAGTTGGCCTATTCAAGAGTTACTCAAATTATTGTACCCATGTGTTCCTTTGTTCTTGAATCTCAGGGATTGGCTTGCCTTCTTTGTCATTGTCTGGTCGTTCTGGTTCACTACATTTCCCTTCTATTTTCTTCGTTGTCTCACATAGCTGTTTCATACTTCCTTCTCTTGCAACTTTTTCTGCTCCCGTTGCTAGGTCTTCCATGTGCTTTTGTTTGTTGGCTCTAATGTTTCTCTTTACTTTCCTGTTTGCTTCTGTGTATTCAGCTTGTGCCTTGACTTTTCCTGTTCTTGTTAGGCTGTTGTTAATTGCTGTTTTCTTCCCTTCTTGAATGCTACCTAGGGTTTCGATAGAGATCCATTCCTTATGATGATGCTTTTTGCGACCCAGAACCTCCTGACACGTTGAAGTTAGTGCTTCGTTGACTCGCTTTCAGTTGTTCTGCATTGTAGTTTCCTCTTCTGCAAGTCGAATATGTGAGTCTTGGAACCTGTTGCTGAAAGCTATCTTGCACTTATTGAGTTTATCCGTAGCTTGAGAAAAAGTCTACATTAAATCTTTGTAATGCTGTTTCACCAGTTGTTCAGTGCTGCTTAGCTTCAGTTTCATCTTTGCAACCACCAGGTGGTGATTTGAAGCTACGTCAAATCCTTCCCTTGTTCTCACGTCTTTTACGGATCTTCTGAATTTTTTATTAATATAAATGTGACCGATCTAATTCTTTGTAGTGTGATCCAGCAAAACTAATGTAACTTTGTGGAGGAGTATAATGCCACCTATAATCCTTTCACATAAATTTACAAATCTCTGACCATTCTCGTTTCTTTCGCCCAGTTCATGTCGTCCTACGACATCGTGCCCGATGTCGTCCGTTCCGACTATGGCGTCTAAATCTCCCGTCAGTATGGTTCAGTCCTTTATTGGGCACTTCTCTATAGCCGATTAAAGTCTCTCATAAAACTGATCTGTATGGTCTTTGTTGATCTCATTAGTGGGTTCGTAGTACTGGTTGAAATTCATTACAATCCCCTCTTTTATTTTGAAAGATGCTATGGTAACCCTGGATCCATGAGATTCCCATCGTATAAGTGATCTTCGTGCTTCTCTGGAAAGGGTCAGTGCAACTACTAGTGTGCACAAAACATTTTCTTCATGATCAGCGTACGGTAGAACCTCTTCCGTTGCTGATCTTTTCCGTCCAGCTTGTGCCCAATGGGTTTTACTTATTACGAACACCGCCAAGTTGTATCCCCTCAATTCCGTAGCTATTTTACTGGTCCTCCCGGTATCCCACATTTCCAGAATTTTTTCCTAATATAAATGTGACCGATCTAATTCTTTGTAGTGTGATCCAGCAAGACTAATGTAACTTTGTGGAGGAGTATAATGCCACCTATAATCCTTTCACATAAATTTACAAATCTCCGACCATTCTCGTTTTAACTGAAAAGAACTGGAAAGGATTGCCCAGGACAAAGTTGGATGGAGTATGTTGGTATGAGGCGCTATGCTTCTCCACGAGGGATAGCGGGCGTAATTAAGTAAGTACAGTGCAATTACATCTCGGAAGCTGAAGGCGAGAGGTCAGAGCAAGTGTAGTACAGGAGGACACGATATTAATTTATCACATTTATTATATTACAACTAACCAGCCGTAACATAACAATCACTCCTTGTGTTTATTGATTACGCGTAAAATTGTAGTGTTATCGACCCATTGTAATAACTTAGCCTTAACTAAGGACGACTAAGAAACTATGGCGACTCCCATGTCATCCTGTTGTTAATTTTTAAATCAATGCAGAGCAGTCTGCTTACAAATAGGAAGAAAGTACTTCGGATGCTGCTTTTATTATGCGCCATAAAGTAGTGTTTAATTTGAAAAGGTAAAAGTATGTTTGATGTGCGTTTTTAGACTGTACACCTGGCTCAGACCATATTTGAAGATCACTGCTATTAAACGATTTCCACAGCGCTAACATCGATAGCTAGGTAACCAGATGTTTGTGTTTTTACTTTTCTGGAAAACATCAATATTCAGCTCTGGAACAGGACTGTTGCAAATCCTAACTGAATGTAGCTGGCTGAGGACAAACATTAAAAATCTTTTTAACTACTCAGAGCTTAAGTTTGTCAGACACTAACTCCCCTTTTATTTCCTCCCGTAAAACGAGACGAAAATGCACTGGAATTCATAAATGGGAGTAAACAATAGATGTTGTACAATACGGTATTAAGCACATACTATGCTTCGCACAGGTTATAATAGGTGACCTGGTTTTTAACTAATACTCATGATGTTGCTAAATCACAGTTGTGTGAATTCTTCTTCATTTATTTAGAACTGAAGAGGAGTGAGCTCTCACAGATCTCCTTGCAATGTTTTATCGTCAGTAATATAGTACTCTGGAACTGTTTACGGAGGACTGTACTAACAGCATAATCTCCAAGGTTTCTAAAACGCGATCTGGACGTTCTCTTTAGTCCCACTACCTATAAGTTACCTGTTTAACCCTTTCTGTGCAAAAAATGACAAGGACTAGAGCCTAATGTTATCTCATGGCTTCCACGGTCCTAATGATTTTTTGATTGGTATAAATGTGACCGATCTAATTCTTTGTAGTGTGATCCAGCAAGACCAATGTAGCTTTGTGGAGGAATATAATACCACCTATAATCCTTTCACATAAATTTACAAATCTCTGACCATTCTCGTTTCTTTCGTCCAGTTCATTGTCGTCCTACGACATCATGCCCGATGTCCTTATGATGATGCTTTTAGCGGCTCAAAATTGTCTAGCACGTCTAAGTTAAATCTTATATTATCCCTTCACAGTTGTTTTTCTCTGTAGTTTCCTTTTCTTTATGTAAATCCTGTAAGGCTTGGAACTTGTTGTTGAGGTTTATCTTGAATTTGTTGATTTTGTCAGTATCTCGAAGAACGACTGTATTAAACCTTTGTGATGCTGTTTATCTGATTGTCCAGTACTTCTTGGGTTTTAGTTTCATTATGGTCACAACCAGGTGGTGACCTGAAGCAATGTCAGCCTCTTTCAGGTTCTCACTTCTTCCACTGTCCTTCTGAATTTTTAGTGATGTAAATATGATCGATATGGTCGTCTGTTGTGTAGTTCAGTGAAAGCCATGTAGCCCCTATGTATTCGTTTGTGTTAGAATACTGAGCAGCCTATAATCATTCTGTTGAATGTACATAGATTCGCGAACCTCTCAAGATTCTTGTTCCTTTCTCATGGTCAGTCCACTTCGTCTCATGATATCATCATAACCGTTTTCGTCCATTCCAATTATGGAGTTTAAACTTCCCATCAGGATTGTCAGTTTCTTTCCTGGACACTTCGCTATGATTGATTGCGACCTCTCGTAAATTTGATCTCTGTTGTCGTTGTTGCTATCATTTGTGGATGCATAACGTTGAATAAAATTCGTCGTGATTCCCCTCTTTTTCGTTTTGAGGGATGCTCTGATGATTCTGAATTCACGAGATTTCAACCCACTAAGTGCATTCCGTGCTTCTTTGGACAGTGTCATAGCAACTCTCTGAGTGTGTGGATCGCTGGCTTTCTCGTGGCCAGGGAACAACAGCATCTCTCCTAAATCTATTATTTCTGTCCAGCTTCGGTCCAGTGGTTTTCGCTTATTCAGAGCACAAACAACATTTATATCCTCATTTTCGTAGCTATTTTACTGATCATTCTAGCGTCCAGAAACACTTTAATGTCAATTTTACGAGGACAAGTAGACTTGCTATGCGAAAAACAGTTATACTCTAACGACGAATGTCATTGAACTTGACTTTTCCAGGACCTACGAACTACTCAAACTGCAATTATTGAAGTAGTTAAGCTAAGATCTGTAGTTTTTTTCACTACTTCGGCACTGAGCCGATATACTTTCATATGTTAAGACAGGCGCATATTGACTGTCACTTCATCGATCAGACCTATGACCCTTCTTACTGTGTTCTCTGTGGTCGTCAATACTAAAATTGTGGTAATTGCGTGAATTCTATTAAGGGGAAGATAACAGTCTATATCTTTCTGTATAGTCTGGAGACGGGATAGTCGGAACGTTTTATTCTTAATCTACACTAGCAGCCCAAGTACATCTGCTGCAGCGCCTCAAAACTAAATCAGCCACTTCATCAAGCGAAGGTGGATAAAAAGTACCTGTAAACTCAAGCACTTGTAAATGAGTGCTTGCATGGAATTCGACACTTGGGATACACGGCATGTGCTTTTACCGTCGTGTATATCCCCTACAAGACAGTGACTACCGTCCACAAGGAACACAAATGATGACACGTCGTTCTCAATGTACATCATGCCTTTTCTTTTATAGTGTTTAAGGACTATAAAACCAGCATACGTAGTCAACTTGCCTAAGAGAGACATTAAGACTTCCGGGACAATAAACCTACGTTTATGACTTCAATTCAAGGCTGACTTCAATGGCTTGTGCCTACTTCTTTCTCCCTACCACATGTATGACTCCCCCATACATTTTCACAAAACATTTGTGACAAAACTTCTATTTCTATTGTCCATGTACACTTTCATCGCAGTTGTTTATAATGTTACGCGAAGTAACAATGTCTCTGTTGAAAGCTGCAGCTTATTTTCGCTTCATCCAGTTTTTGTTAAAATAAATGGTGTTATGTCTGTTATGAACACTGATTATGCGTTGAATCTGATGGAGCCTTGCCACTGATTGTTTACGAAAAGGATGTCATAAGTGCTGCTTTAATAATGGATGACGGGTCCTCTTGAATATAGCTCTACACACGTGAAATTAACATAAAAATGTGGGCAGTGCAGTGAGTGGTTTCAATAACAGATATAATGAACCTTGCACAATCCATTAAAAACGTTTCGGATTTTTATTAGTGTTTTTGATGATGAGTTTGAGTCGGTCCATGACCCTCAATACATCTTCTGTAGTCCAAGCAAACATTATCGAGGCTCCGCGCCCATGGTTACCTGTTGAAACCAATTGGAAGAGCATATAATTAAAGACACCTGGCAAGCAGAACACTTTCGCTTTCCCCTGTCAGTGTTGGATGTTGAGCCGTAGCAATCTAATTAGTGAAAATGTTTATGCATTTCAAATTGCTCTTAAGCACTGAATGTTATACTATTCACCTGATTAGCACCACCACCATAACATCTAAACACTTTCCCACTATTTTGCAAGGTTGGAAGTACATCGCTGAAAATCCCACAGCCTAAAAACCATAAATCTATGGGAAAACTTACGTCTGAAAACTCTATATTTCAAATTATGGATATATTGGACGGTAATAGTCTTTCCAAAATTGTCTTTAAAATACTGGACAATCTACTCACTATCACTCACAGTTACTACCATGGGTATAAGGGCTTGCAACTGATTATCATTCAATCTGCTGAACAATGCATCATTTGTTAACCTGAGTTTTGTGATCTGTGGGCTACATCGACTTCCTCGTAAGGCTCGACTGACTTAACGGCTGACCAAATCAACCAGTTTGTGCTTACTTGATCGATTGATTGTTACTGTCTGATTATTCCTTTGTGTCTGCTACTTAGTATTTACTGACTTCATTCACGTACAGTAATCTCCAAGGTGTTCAGAAAACCTTAAAGTTCTTCCAGAGCATGTCGTTTTCGGTAGGTTCTCAGATACCAGCGAAGTTTTTTCGTAGCTGTTTATTGAGGGGTGGGGTTTCATATTTGCTAAGCCTGTGTCTCTCGATTGTACTGGAGGAAAATAAACGTTATAACTGTCTCCCGAATACGCAGCTTTGGGATATTCGATGGTGATGCTGCCTTTAGTTTTGTTTTTGTCAATGGCATGGTACTTAGGTTTACGTCGAAGGACTTTCAGAGGCTCTTTTTTAGACGATCGAGAGCCCGTTGTATTGAATCACAACGTACAAAAATATATGTGCTACATCGCTAGTCAGGTTGAACGGAAACATCAGTTTACTGTGGTCTAGTGAAAACAGAACGCCTGCTCGTATAAAAGTTTAGATCCATATTCATTGAAAAAGATGAAGGACTCACAAATTCTCCTGGAATTCGGAGTGTCATACCAAGAACGAGCCGCGCTGCCGTGTATTCATTATCAGCTACCACTGCACTGTGAAGACCGAGTAAAACGAGTAGAATAGCGTCAGCGCACTATTAAACTTTTGCAGCTGAGAGTGAAGCTTTTATCTATCCATGACATCCCGTATACTTGTGGGTGGTAGGTGGTCGTTCAGAATCATGTGATTCCCAATATTATAGTCAGACAACGGAAAAATCCAGATTCAAACCAGATTCCGTCGTTTGTAATGATTGACGAGGTTTTCTACACATCGTTCAACAAATGCGAGGGCCTCTTCTACAGCAGTAACATCCATGATACACAATGCTCCTGGCCATCGTGTGAAACCATATGCACACTAAGAGGTGTGAGTATCCATTTAAATATGGCGAAGGCCCTACCAAATGCAGACGAACATGGTCGAAACGACCATCTGGAATTTCGGTGGAGGCTAAGGGACATTTGTTGAGCCTAATCGCCTTGGATTTACGGAAACTTACACAGGAACGTGCCCAATCCCTCATAGCTTTATTCACACCAGGGTAAAAAATCGTTCCGTGATGAGGTTGACGGCTTCTTGAACACTCGGATGAGAACGCCTGTGCAATGTAGTGAAGACTGTCTTATTTTATAACAACATACGTGGAAGTCACATCATAGTCAACCAGCGATATAACGTTTGGCGTTTGTAAGGAACACATTTAAGATAAAGATAGAATGATATATTCAGTGTCAGTAAAGACAAATTATACAGAACGACCACATATGCGAGGCTGAGCCATGTCATCCGATTGAATGAATCCACTTATTTCTTCCTGTGTTCACCACTGGCGACCATCTCTTCGTGTTAATTGTTTACGTTTGCGCAGTTAATTCATGTTCAGCATTGAGGATTGCATGGTTTGAACCTATGCCATTTCATGCATAAGAAGGTCGATGCCTTGAAAACGTTTCTAGTTACTTATACGTTATTTGCTTTAAAAACATGTTGATTATCTGGAGTGAACTAACAGACGCGGTCCAGTTACTGATACTCTCAAGCGAAACACTTGCCTGAAAATGAGCTTAGAAAGAAGGTGAGAGGCATATTGCCTCGGTTCTCTGTCTTGCAAGTGTCTCAAGAATGGCAAAGATTACGGGCTATTTTTTACCTATTCTTCCAAAACTCCTCCGGTTGCCGAGCAAGGTGTGTCTACTGCAATGCTGTGTGCTTCGGCGTCCTGGTGAGCGAGCATTGCTGCATTCGTGACAAGTTACTTAACTATGAGGAGTGATGAAAAAGGTTTTGAGAAGTCATCTGCAGTCATGAAAAATTGATTATACGCTTTAACCAGGTAGATTTTCGAAAAAATAGTTGTCTTTGAAAGTAGCTGTCGAATCGTGAATGTGCAGCAATATGTAACGATCAATTGGTGGTTTGTTCATTCAGTCACCGATAGTCACTGGATGTACACCAATCATTGTTGTCCTTCTCGTGAACTATGTGTAAGGGAGATGTACATGGGCTGTTTTAAGGCCGAGTGATTCCCAAGTCCTTCAGATTGTTGAATTGGTTTCTAGGTAACTTCGGCTTTTCGAAAGTTAGTCGTCAAGCTTCTGCAAATACAGGTGGTCCAGCAGGCATGATGACGTATTCAACATAGCCGGTTACACAAAAAATCTATGTATAAAACCAGTCGATTACGTGCATTGCAGTGACTGCGGATAATTTACAACCAACAACCGGTAATTTGATATTTCCAACCACTAACCCAAGTTTCCGCGTGTCAACGAGTGAATTATAATGTTTAAGCAAGTTTATATCAACGATTGGCGTAGAAACACCTGCAAGATCATCAAACCGCAAAAATATAAATTAAAAAACGATGTGTAATGATCCAATAAGGAACGGACTTACAGTTGATGAATTAGTGAACCAGATCATCTCAGCATCACCACCGAAGATACCACAGGTATGAGTGAAGTATGTCAAGTCAGTCAAAGGAGAATTTAGAAATGAAGAGTTTCGAGGATACTTGTTTGAAAGTCCAACGATATATCTACCGGCGTCTAGTCTATGCTGGTTAAAGGTTTTAAGAGCTATGTAGTGCGGCGTACCCATTCAGGACTGGTGCGCATGCGTTATCAAAAGTATTTGGCGAAATGTCTTCATTAATACTAATGAGGTCAGATTCAATGTCGAACAATTACAAAACTATTTACTCTGGGTAATTATTTACAGCTACAAATATACCCAGGTTCCAACCTGAAAATTTTGGTCCAGCGCTCCTAGATACTGAAGGCGGTTCGAAGATAGCTTCCTATACTCCATCCACGACCATTTTAACCACTCGAATGAATCAACTTTGAGTTTTTCGAGTAATAAGTAATAACGGTTTTTCCAGTACATTACATCATATGAAAATAACAAAACAAACTCACAGGATATTATTAAACTACTTGTCTTTCAACCCACTGCTAAAGCTCTCCTCGAGTTCGTGTTTAAAAAGTCTGAATTTAACAGTATAAACTTCGCAGTGAAAAAGACACCTAGGACATTGTTTAAATCAGGAGCGGCTATTTCAATTACTGGGCTACTAGGTGCCGTCTCGTGTGTTCGTTCATTAATATTCCGGTTTTTTAGTACAAGTCTGATCTTTGACTTGGACAATTCTGGACTAGGTATTATAATTTCTTTTCACAGCTTGATTCTCATGACAAATACTCAACTTCCAAAAGACCTTCGTATCGATATTTAGGTCCAACACGATTTGCCATTTAGAAATATAATACTATATTTACATATAATATGTAGACCACCTCCGCTAAAAAACACGGTTATGTTTCCGTTCCTCACAGTCCGGTAAGGAAATTTGTTTATATGTAGGAACATACATACATAGCCCATTGTTGTAGACGTCTAGGCTGAGAGCGGATAATAGTTTTGTTTTTTGCGGCGATTGTCTCGCTTAAACTTGACTTCTTAATTCCGGTTTCTTTTATTAGTCTAATGAGTTGTCTGGTGTTTCCTTGTCCATTTATTTTGCTTTTTTTTGCCCACCACTGCTGACGATCGTTCCGTAGACTGCTTTCGCTCTTCATCGCATTCAGAGCCTGATAGGATGAGTTTACGAGAATCCATCAGTGTATTATACTTAGAAGAAATCCATTGGTTTTTTATAATCCTTTGGTTTACATCACTAGTAAATGTTACTGCTATTTCCACAGCTGTTCTCATTTCTTTCCACGCAGCATCTCGGTCAGCCTCGTTTACAGAACTGCCTAAATGTGAACTCAGTTGTTCCTAGAATTTACTTTTGGCTTTCTCGTCCCTCAGTTCAATTCTAATGGGTCTTCTTTGTGTGATTTCTCGGTGTCCAGTGAGGCGCAAACAAATGCGTGATCGGAGTCTAAACATGTATTCCAGTAAGAGCCACAATCTTCTATCGAGCCTCTTCAAAGATGACTGATGGCAATATGGTCTATTTGAGTCCATCGTTGGTTTAATGCAGGTGGTCGCCATGTTAGACGATGTCTCTCCTCATGCTTAAAACTAGTACTTGCTAAGAACAAACGATTGTCTGAGCATGGTTGCAACAGACGATCACCATTATCTGTTCGCTGAGCCGGAATACTACAATACCCATCGAAATGTCTTTCTGTTCGGTTTAAGCTACGTACTTGAATATTAAAGTTACCTGCTACGAGTACTATGTCTGAGCGTTTAGCTTTTTGAAGGTCAAAAAGCTTTCTGTAAAAGTCATCTTTTACTTGATCCGGACTGCAGTCAGTGGGAGAGTAGGCAGAAACGACGAAAAGGCAACGATGTGTGTCCCTATCCTTCCGAGTCTTTACGGAGCCGTTTAGCAGAACAACACATAAGCGACTGTTAGCAAGGATGCACTCTAATAGTGCTTGTTCTGCTCTCGTAATAAGTGCTGTGCCTACACCTACAAGTCCACGAGAACTACTCATCAGATACACAGAGGGTGTACATCGTCGGCTCTCTGTTTTGGCGAGATGAGATCAAGTGAATGACCACACTGGGATCCTGTATTTGTGTTTTGGAGGCACAGCATGCATCGATGGTACGAGATTCTAGGTTCTTAGCCCAGAAGGCCTTCTGGCCGGTTTGACATAGGGTACGTACGTTGAAGACTCCAATGTGTAGTTTGGAGCGAGGTTTTGGTAGACCTGGGACAGTGTTATGCGCAATAGAATCGTTGGCTATAGTGGCACTTGAAGAGGAAGCTTAGTATTGAAAGTCAATGTAGGAGGAATAAAAGGAATTGAAGGGGGAAATTGGATATAAATACAGTGATCTTGAGTGCTGTTAGAGGTATGAGAGCAGTTATCGCTTCTCGATTGTTCCAGCCAGTATAGCTCGATTGGTTCATCGCGACAGGCAGGCCTGGTCACCACGTCAAAATAGCAACAAAGGTCGGGTGTACGTATGAGCATATGCTCATATTCATAATTCCATCTAATAATTTAACTGTGCTAAACCTTATCAGATGGTTTTGATTTGTTGCTTATTATACATTCATACACTTATGAGTCAGATATATCTAACTTCCATAGTCTAGTCTCATTGTATGGGAAACTCGACAGATAATGAATGATTGATGAGTGACCGATTTCAATAGTTCTACAAGTTGCGATATTTCTTACCTGTGCTTAGATCATGATTGCATGGTTATTGTCTGAACCATTCCCGACTGTTTTTTGAAAAGCATTCACGCTGCTTGATTTTTAATCAGCGAACCTTGTACGATCGTAGAAAATATTATTCCTTCTGAAATGAATCACTCAACTTGTTGGTAAGTGCCAATTTAGTGTAGTCAGGCCTTTACTCTTATTACTTTCAGAACTCATACTTACCCGTTAGGGTAATTCTCTGATAATCCATTGTTTTTTCTTAGTTAATACGCCCCGCATAACTATATTTTATTCTGATGGCTTGTCTTGGTTCCCATAACAGATGAACCTCACTGAACTTTTCAAGTGGCTTTTCTTTTAATGGCTGTTAATTCAGTTATCCCATCAGAACTACGTCAATTAAGAGCCTGCTTATTATGTGGTCTAGTGAAAACTCTTAACCAATTTCAACTAAACGGATGCGAAAACTGTGAGGACTTTCTAAAGATGCAAGGAGACCGAGAAAAGGTATACGAATGTTCTTCTGCCAACTTTGATGGTTTACTTGCTATGATGTCACCAAACGACAGTTGGGTCGCCAGATGGCAGATGATTGATAAACTTACGCCAGGTGTTTATGCTATCAGTGTTTACGGATCTCTTCCTAGTGATATAGTGCACTATTTACGAAGCAAAGGGATTTCTTATCGATCATTAGACAAAAGTGGTAAATAGTGTCTTCCTCTGCTACGTGCATTCATCAACATGGACATTGAGTATTGTCTATTGAATTTCATCAGATAAAACCTTGGTATGAAATCAAGCTATTAGTTATCTTCATGTACAAAACCCCTTTTCTAGAAAAAAGTAAGATCAAACTGTAAAAATACACCACTCTCCTGAATAACTGCCGTATTTTATTAATAATTAAACCTATGCTTAGAAATTGACTTTTCTCTAAAAAAAAAACCCTGCATTTTTGTTTGATTGTCCCAGTAAGTTAAACGGAGCGTAGGATATGGCACAAGCGTAAATTGGTCCAAGTTGCCATACTCCATTAGCACAGCTAAATAGCATTGTCAGGGAAAATCTCGCAGTAGCAACAGTATTAGTGGTAGTAAGACTGAAAAAAATATAAATTATCGGAACGAAAATAATACTTATGGGGAATTTAGGATCTAATTTAGACTAATGAATGTATCTGGGTTATTGTGAACGGTTCCAAGTTATATCATTCAAATTCCATGACCTTTAGTTACGAGAATCACACGGACCCCAACTAGCTAGTTTGCATCTATCTACACGGTTCAGTTTAACAATCAGTCTTCATAAACTGACATCTGCTAGCTTCCAACTTATTCTTACATCAGTAATCATCGCCCGTCAAAGTAAACGGTGGATGAGCATGCGTAATATATATCCTGACCATCTCAGTCGGTATAAACTCACTTGTTCATCAATAGATTTTACATCTTTCCTTGGTACTCTGGGTCTAACCTCAGAATTGTTGACCTGATACTATCAAAATGTGCAAGCAATGGTTCGCAACACCTATGATCGGATGCTAGTAGTCTGTTGATACCCTCTGTTCCTAAAGGCCATGCTTCACAGCCACAAGGTAGAATGAAGTGAACTTCTACACTGTAATCTAATTCTTTATTTGGCAGACGGATATCTCACCTACGCCACAAGATAGTAAACGTCAACAGGGTTCACTGGATTCCTTCCAAGACTTCGTCAGACATCCCATAGCTGATGAGACTTTCAAGATAAGTGAAGTGACCACTACACTCAAATACGCTACATTATTAGTTCAGGCGTTGACGCAGACCAGTTCTGAAGCAATATTCTGCATTAAGGTGGAGGAAAACTTGTCCCGAAGATGATAGCGTGTTTATTTTTTAACAAGAACCAAAATAAGACATGACTAGTACTTATGTAGAGACAGCTATTTACAAAAAACCAACTGAAGCTCCAATGTCGACTGATATCGAGTGTATTTTTCGTTCGCTGGTCTGTAATTTTCCATGAGATTCAAAAAATCATGATATCAGTATATTATGAACGAGATTAATAACCTCCAGTTACATTAGCTTTTTCTAAAATCAATCTGAAAACTACATAATAATCACAAAAGACTTCTGGCATTATCACTTGAGACCTACATGGTTTATTTTACGAAAACGACTCACGTGGAACTAATTAACAGCTAAGGATCTGCATTTTGAGAAGGATAAATTCAATAGTTCTCTCTACACTAGCTTTCAAAGGAGACGGTTTAGAACATACCACGTTGAAAGCACCGGTTCTCGTCCAATAGCATTTCTATTAGAGGTTATTAATTGCATCATTATTCACGTCGCGTACAGTATAAAAAGACACGCGAAATCATTTTTAAAGCAAACGGGATTGCTAGACACTCTAAATAAATTATTCTTGTAATTGTTTTCTTAGCATTTTGTCTTTTAGAACTGTAAAATGTTAGGATCATTGCTGTTTTCATAGTACGGAGAGTCCAAAAAAACTACTTACAATTCCAGTGAACGTTACGATAAGTGTGTATCACACGATCAATTTTATATACAAATATTACACAAAATTCCATTAGGTGATGCTTGTGTATTTTGTAAAATATAATTTAGAACTGTCAAAAATAGATATAAACGATTATATTATAACCTATAGGATTCCTTCTATCATATCATACACAATAGCGAATATTCAACGCTTTAACTGGATTAGTGGCCACGGTGAGTCCATCTAGGGGAGTTAGAAAACCCTAATTTCAAACCACTGGTGCTTATGGGCTCCAGGATCCTGAGGGGAGAAATGTCGTATGAACCATTTGTTGGTCACCAGCTACCATAGGACTGCATCCCCTGACGTTGCTCCACTGCCTATGGATTAAATCTCTAGACCATAGGCTCAGGGAGTGGCCCCTAACAAAACTACCTGCTTCGGTCTGGGTATCCGGGAAGTATCACAACCCTCATACAAATCAATTACTATTAGAAAATTACTCTTGCCTCAACGATCACTCAGACAAATCTTATTCACAATAGTATGATAATATTCGTCACTCGTGTATTCCTCCTTACGGTCACTTTGCGTATTTTATTTTTTAACCTATCCAGCGGCTCGCCGATTGTGGGAAACCTGTCTTACATAAACGACCTCAAGTCACTGACTGATCGAAAGCTGGATGCTACCACCGACTAAGAATGCTGAATCAGTCTTTCTGAAACCACGTCTACCATTCAAACTGACCTCCTTCAACGTCCACTCACTAATTCAGACTAAGAAGCATATAGGATTGTCAATGTCTTTAGAAAGTCTAGAAATCGATGTCTGTCGTCCACTCGAAACCCGTATTCAAGACTCTAGTGAAGCACTGCAAATTCGCTCTCCATAAGTCGCTTCAAAAGGCTTGTTTTATGTGTGTTTATCCGGAGACCCTGTGGCATCGTCTAGTTAAGCTGACGTTGGTGTCGCACTAAGCACTGGAGCAGCACTGATCGACTGGACCCCCTTTAACAATCGGTTATGTGCTGTTAGATCAGAAAGTCCCATCAAGGTTCAAAGAAATCGGTGTGAGAAACGATGTTTTTTGTCAGCTCCACATACTCTCCGACAGATTGCAGCCTGAATGCGATCAAGGATGAGTTTTACCACCAATCAATAGTTCTACAGAAAGTGCATTTGATAGATAATGTAGCGCTAGTCGGAGACTTGATAGTTCAGGTTTGGCATATAGACACAGAAGAGAGTCGTTTAGGTGGCCGATGGGGACTTGTTGATCTCAGTCCAAATCAGGGTGACAATCTACACCAACTGTGCGCAGACTACGACCTGTTTCTGGCCAGCATCAACTACTTGCACAATCATTACCGACGTGTCACCTGGCGTCCCCATTCTGCATCTCAAACCTGGACTCAGATTGATCGCATCGTGATCAGCTACCACTGGCGTGGTTGTATACAAAACTGCCACTCCCTTCGGAGTACCTATCTGAGCTCTGATCATTCCCTTGTCTGCGCTGATTCTACCTTGTTTCAGTGGTCAACAGATTCGTCGTCCTAAACCGATCGATGTCAGCAAATTGGTTGCAGCTTTTGTTGCGACTAAATATCAAACTGAGCTAGGTTCGAGACTAGCTACCATCTCTCCAAAAAGTATAGATTAACATTGGTTGCAATTACATGACGCCATAAAAATGGCAAGTAAAGTCGCTCGCGGCTTCACGAGACATCCCGTTTATTAGTACTGGGTTTCTTCAGGCTCCTTACAACCCATTGAAGCCCGTCGGTCCACTGAGGGTGACCGCTGGTATGATCATAAACGAAGACCATTACGTAATGAAATTGTGCAAAGCTTGCGAAGTGAGAAGTCTGGTGGTCGAAGTGTGCTAACAAATCGGAAACTTTTTCAACTCAGCCGGGTCACTGGAAGCAAGATGTCTGGTGTAAGGGGAACAGCCTGCGAAGCTGATGGGATGCCAATCACCAACAACTACCGACGTCTCGGGCAATGGGCAGTTTTTTGAGGAGCAGTTCAATTGGTCTTCTGCCGCAGCGACATCAATCAGACTGTTCTGCCCTTCATGGCCGGTGACGACTGATCCACCTAACAAGGCGGAAGTCCAAATCTTGAAGCGTCACCTGGCCTAGATGACTTGCCTCTGGCCCTCCTTAAAGATGGTGAATTTCTGGTTAAGGATATGACGGAGTTGTTTACAAAAGTCTGGCAATTTGTGAATGTTCCAAAATCATGGAGTGAGTCCTTACCTTTAAAAATGGTTCACGTCGCTTCTGCAGCAACTGTCTAGGGAAACGCTCAATTCCGATTGCGTCAAAACTATTGACTTCCGTCATACTTCGTAGATTGTTCTAAACCCGAGGAAGATTGACTCGCGAGGAGCAGGCTGGTTTTCGTTCTGGTTGAGGATTTATTGATCATATATTCACCCTCCACCAAATATTAGAACACCGTCATATTTATCACAGGCCAACGGTCTTAGTGTTTCTTGATACTAGGGCCGCCTTCGATTCGTCGGGAAGCACTGTTCTCTGAAAATGTCAATTGAAGAAGGGTGTGCCTGAGATGTTTATTAACATCTTGAAAGCTGTATATACTAACACCTTAGGCAGACTGATGGTATACAATCACCTCACTCTACTGTTCCGTTTCAGAAGTAGGGTTACGCAGAGTTGCTCAATCTCACAATTTCTCTCCAACTTTTCTATCGATGACGTTCTGGAAACAGCTCTAATGGACTTAGGCAATGGTGGTGTGGATCTATTGCCTGGAGAAAGACCTCTGGACCTTGAACATGCGGATGATGCGAACCGCACTTAATCAGTTGGTAATTATTACCCGTAGGTATGGTGTGTGTTTGCACCTTCGAAGTGCCAAGTACTTTTAAAAGACTGGTAGGACCCTGATCCTGCATTCACCCTAGGTAATGAGCAGATAGTCATAGTCGAGAAGTCCGGTTATCTGGGTAGCTGCATAAGTGCTGGTGGTGGCGTGGGTGATGAGATCAATTCACGTATAGTGAAAGCCAGAGCGGCTTATGCCAATCTGAAACCACCTTTGGCGCCTTCATGATGTTAGAATGGCTGTAAAACGTTGGATCTACAACGCGTCGGTGAGAGCAGTTTTGCTCTATGGTTGTGAAACCTGGTCTCTCCGAGTTGAGGATGTTAGACGACTCTCTGTGACTGATCATCATTGTCTATAAAGGACTGTTAGAATCCAGTGATTACACCATGTTAGTAATGCAGAGGTCTGGTATCGCGTGTTTGGACACAGCAACCACAATGCCATTTGTGTCACTATCTTAAAACGTTGACTTCGGTCGCTTGGACATAACATTTAGCGCCCCCTTGTATCTATGTATATGTGTTCATATAAATAAATAAAAATAAATACGATAACGCCGTACGAACTGATTCATAAAAGAGT